GCTGCAAGTCATTCCAATTCGGGTCTTTTCGCAGGCTTTCCTCCAGCTTCGTACTTTGTACGTTCACTTTCCTACGGTGGTCATTTGAAGTATTCATGACCACCGGAATCTGGAATTCTTCTTCTCTCTTTCTTTTGTAACCTTTCTATACGGTCAGCTGGGTAGAGTTCAGATCATGATTGCAAACCTGAAAAAAAAGAGTCGTAGAACGATTGATTGAGAAGATGACGATTGGTTTGCAACCAATATATTTGGGAGATGAAGAAGATTCAGGTCTATTATAGTTGTATGGGTGGTGTCCTCAGTCATGAAAGTGGGTTCTGCATTAATCGCAAGAATCCCACCACCTTATTGATGATGTTCTGAATCATCTGAAGAACATAATTCCCTCCAGGAATTCAAAAACGATCACAATCCTAATGGCCAAATCAGCCATCATCGATTCGTTGTATATTGCCTTGTAAGTAGATGGTTGATTGCCGATTCGTCCTGGCCGTTAAAAAGTAGATGAATTGGAAGGCAAAGGATGATGGTTGTCGTGTGGTTTATTGTCTGAAATCACGAAACATTTCCAATGCATAGCTGAAGAATGTGAGCAGAAGAACAAGTTTGGGTCAAAGTGGAGGAGCAAGAACTCGGCGCATTGAATTTTGAGGCAGAGCAGGGTTTAGGGAAGGTTCTGCACAATGTCTGTCGTGAGTGGGAGAGGCCGTTAATTGTCAACATAGACTCATAGACATGGTGATATGATGAGTGAGTTGGGAACGGAATATGGACAGACAATCTAGTAAATTGTAAGACGACTAACTTGATCCTGACAATAACGATACCGGTATAGTGGAAATAATATCAACAATTTTATGGAAAGCACCGCCGCCTTCTTCAAGACACTGGCTTCATAGGGGGGGGGGGATTTAGGGTATATAATAGCAGCCTGATTGTTTTGGGAAAGCCACGACTACATACATAATGCAGGACAAAGTCGCAGGACAAAGGCACAACCTTACATAGTATCACACCGTTAAGTAAAAGGAATCTCAACGGGAAAAAAAGATACCGTATGTACGACCGTCGGTGCTATTAAATTATTATGGAAACCTGACGCATGTATGACGAGGACAACGAAGGTAACAATCCATGAATGTTTGATGTGATAATCAATGCGTCTGAACCGCCTACAGCATTGAAAGCATGTCCAAGCACCTCTAAGCCAATAATAAAATCTACTATCCCTGCATTTCGCAGAATAAATCGAAACTCGGAGGCTCACCGCACCGCGATTTTTTGTGCCTTCGAATACTTCAAGATCGGAAGCATGAAAGTGATGTCAGTGGAAAGACGGCAGCCCGATCTTGTGTCGAAATCTAACCATTTGGAAAAAAAACAGAACTTCTATATTGCGTATGTGCATCGACCGCAGGTATCATCAGACTGGCTCGTACTGTACAATGTACATCGTCATGGTAAATCATTTTCAATTTCACGCCCTACACAATGAACCAGCCTAGAAGAAGAGATAGGAATGGGTCACAACAAAAGTTATAGAGTCTCTCGGAAAGCAGTGACGTGAGAGTTAGGCCTAAAGCTATATCTGTACCTCCAAACGGGCTAATCTAGTTCCAAGGTCACTCCAAGGTCATTACACACAATACAGTATCTACCGGTATATATGTCAGCTGTGAGGTATTGAAAAAAATATTTATGCCAATGAGAACTGCGAAAATGCCGATTTGGCAAATTAGATATAGAAAGCTTCAGAATTTAGGTCATCTCCTCGGGGAATCAATAAGTCCAACAAGCCCGCACCACCAAAAAGACTGCTGCAATCAATCAACTCAACAAAACCGCGCACGTAGAACAAGAGTATACGGCATTTATTATGACAATACCTCGTTATACAGTATCCATCACAAGCATTTTATATTTCACACCCAACCGACCGCAAACAACCGCAGCCACCCATCAAGGAAATTGCTGAAGATACTATTGGGTTGAATATGAGTTCTCCTGTCTCCTCTGAAAGCCACATTGAAAGAAGCGTAAGTATTGTTGCCTGGTGTAAATAGAGATTGTTGCTTCGTTACTGTTTTTCTAACGCCACAATGGAATGAAAACTTATATGTATAGATTCAAATCGAAAAAGCCATTCAAAAGAACAATGGTGGTTCCAATTTTGATTCAAATCTAGAGGCAATCAATAATGAGTTTTCTGGTGTCGAATTGAATTCAGGTGGAACGCAAGCCACTTGGGGAGAACTCTGCCATGGCTGCTGTTCGAAATCACCAACTGAATGGGCACATGCTCTCATGGCATGTGCTGTAGCCATCTTCTTTCTCTATTTCTTCTTGGTCGGACTCGACCTCTTGGGGACTGGGGCCAAGGTTATGAGTGCATGTACGGCGGGAGCTCTGTTTGGGGACGACATGAATCCTGTAGCAGGACTAATGGTGGGCATTGTTGCCACTGTCTTGTTGCAATCTTCTTCTACTACCACTTCTATTGTGGTTGCTATGGTGGGAGCTGATACTGTATCCGTCAGGCAAGGGATCTATATGATTATGGGTGCCAATGTTGGTACTTCTGTCACCAACACACTTGTTGCATTGGGACATATGGGGGATGGAGATCAACTCGAGCGTGCTTTTGCCGCAGCCACAATCCATGACATGTTCAACTTTTTGTCAGTCGGTATCTTGATGCCGATTGAAGTTGTTACTGGCATCTTGTTCCATCTTACTGAGATAATCATTAAAGACTTCAGGTCAAAAGATGGGGAACAGTGGGAGGCTCCTGTCAAGCGATTGGTGTCGCCGCTTGTCAAACGAGTTATTATTGCCAACAACAATGTCACCGCGAGCACTGCCAGTAATCTAGCTACATGTGGTACCTTCTATCCCAAAAATGGTACACTAGCGTGCGAAGACTACAACGATCCACTCTCATGCAGGCCAGGACTAATCAGATGTGAAACGAAGGGTGATGTACCCTACTGCCCTGCATTCTTTGATCCAGAAGCCACGGAAGCTGCAGACCTGACTGCTGGACTGTGCGCTTTTATTATCGGTCTTATCATCCTATTCATATGTCTCCTTTCTTTGATCAAGATTCTTCAAGGTATGCTCATGGGCTCATCGGCAAAAATGCTCTACAAAGCCACTAGTATCAATGGATACTTGTCAATATTAATTGGAACTGGAATTACCATGTTGGTCCAATCCTCTTCCATTACTACGTCGGTCCTTACGCCACTGATCGGATTGGGAGCGATGCAACTAGAACAAATGCTGCCGCTTACCTTGGGTGCCAACCTTGGAACTACCTTGACTGCTGTTCTGGCTGCTTTGCTCACGAAGCCAATCGCCATGCAAGTCGCACTAGCTCATTTGATCTTCAACGTGGCGGGAATCCTCATTTGGTACCCAATTCCTTTCATGAGAAGCGTTCCACTTGGGGCCGCCAGGCGATTGGGTAGACTCACTCGCATTTGGCGTGGATTCCCCATTCTGTATCTATTCGTCACCTTCATTGCGATTCCATTTGGCATCTTGGCTATTTCCTTTCTATTCACGACTGGAAATAAGGGAATGACTGCTTTGGGAATCATCATTGTCGCCATTTTGCTTACTTCATTGGGATCCACGATCTTTTTCTGCAAGTTCCGGGGTGGAAGTGACAAATGCATGGATTTCATGATGGAGCGTGAAAAAGGTAATGTGACATTAAAGGAGCTTCCTGACGACATGGAATACTTGAAGTCGGAGATCAAAAGTCTAAGAGAACACACTGGTGAGTTGCAATCTGAGATTCTTCGTCTACAAGAATTCAGTGCTGGTACGCCGCTTATTGTCCGGGACAAAAATGAGGAACCAGAAACCACCATAACGTGGGTGGACGATGATGAATTTTAGTTGTCGAAGCTGTGAGATCTACCAGTTATTGTATTCCTTATTGAACTCTATATAAAATTTTGCACATCATTATCGGTTCAAAATAGCTTATTTTTCCTATCCTATAATGAAACTATATTCATCCAAGTCACAGTCAAGGTTTCTTTTATGACAAAATTAGTTTTATTGAGGTGGTCGTGCTACCGAGTATCCCAAAAAATGGTCGAAAATGGCAGCTTCTCAGCACTATACTTGAACTGAGAACTACTGGCGTTCGACTCCCGAATGAGGACTCCAATATCCATATTTACGCGTGACTTGTAGTAACCATCATTGTCCAGCGGATCCAACAGTATCTTTGCGAGATCCAGTAGACCAGAATAAAAGAGCGTCAACAATCCTACAGCTGGGATGCTCCAAATTCCCAACTCGACATACAAAGCAAATGGCGCCAAGAAAAGAAAAGAGTCTACGAGCACTTGCACAAAGTGACAGTAAGCAAGTGGGATGCGACCTGCGATCTGCGCGAGGGAGTAGATTTGTTTAGAGCAAATCCAAATCCTTTCCCTACCGAACATTTGAAGGACTTACCAAATCGCCAATTTGGGCATAGCATGATCGCATAAGGAGCACCTTTTCAAAGAGTACATCACGAACAGCATGATCATTCGGAAGCGTTCGTGCCTTCATGGCATTCAGGCACCTGATCATGATCCAAGTGAGACAGGCGTTCTGAGGACCATTCGCTCCATCATTCAGACTGCTTATGATATCGTATTGACTTCCAGTCATGAGACCACGACTTAGCATTCTACTAATTCCCCTTTTGCTCAATATGATCTTGAATTTATTGGTCGCCCGAGCCCATGCAAACGCATGATACATCCTCGAGTAGTCAGCAACGTCGTTCAATAGAGACTCTCCCTCTTTGGTGTACTGCCCATGGTGATCCCGTTCCACCGTGGACGCCAAGAGCAGGCCAATGTCACTAAATTTCCCTTGCATACTTCTCATGATCCGATACATTTCTCTCCAAATGCCGTACGCTTGGCTGAGGAAGAAGGTAAGGATGAATGTTGTGATATTCATCAAGTAATGCCAAAGTTTGCTCAAACCAAGAAATTTTTGAATAATGGGAAGGTTGGAGTCTGGTATCATTCCTATAGCCCATGTCGGTTTGAAGTGGTGTCTCACTAGAGCGATAACACTAGCCGACAATATCATGTTTAGGGCAGCTGCTTTCCAAGCGTGCTGCAAAACAGTTCCAGACCACCTTCGCCAAAGCCAAAATGGAGACGGTTTGAACTGTCGGATGATATCACCGCCATATTTGGTACTGGTGCCCGAAATTCCATCTATAGCCAAATCTATATCTCGTAATTCTTTTTTTATGTCCTTTTCTTCTTTGGTTTGAAGGCTGTTCATAAAGTGGGAAAAGGCATCCTTATTCAAGCGGAAGGCGGTGACATTTGTTTTGGCCATCACCGTTGCCGCACGCTCCGAGTCGTACAAAAGTCCCAGTTCACCAATCATGCTTCCCTTAGTCATGGTTCCATATGGAGCCTTGAGCTGCTGACCATCAATGCAAATAGAGCATTCGCCACTTCCCAAAACCAACATAAAGTCGGCATCCGTATCCCCCTGTTCCATTATAGTAGTACCTATAGGATACTCCACCTTTTCAAAGGCGTCTACCATTTGCTTCAGCGTCTTGCTGGGAGCTTCTTCAAACAATACATTGGTCTTGAGTGTGGCCGAAAGGAACTTGGTCTCCTGCCGAGATTTTGGGAAGATTGGTGGTTCGAAATCGATAGGATCTTCGTCTATCCCTCTGTTCATTTCAACGTTTACCGAATGACTGGCATCTTCGCTTTCACCCTCATTTTCGTTTGTGATTTCATGCCGGAGTGGATCCGAAGATGATCTCAGAACTGCTGGATTGTTCAGCCGCTGCCGAACTGGTGATGTCGAATGTCCATATCTTGAATGCAGCAGCTCTTGTCTATGAGGAACCAAAGCTTGACTCGTCTCCAACAGAAAAGGTGAAGCTATTACGAAGAATATTGAGACGGCAACATACTGCAAAGCATTCATGATCGGTCGTACGGTATTTGGATGGCATACAGTTTGGACTATATTTTGTTGAAGCAAAATCAAGATCTTTTTTGTGTCCGATAATAGATTAATTCTAAACGGACAGAATTACAAGGCAAATTGTGTAATCGACTAGACAGATTGCATTTAAAAAGGCAGTGGCAACTAACAATGGATAGGTAGGCGCAGTGATCTACACTTCGAAGTACATGGCATTCACAGCATGTGAAATCAGCAGTAAGAATCCATTCAGCACTTCTGCTGAATGGTCTAGAACAAAGCAAGGAGTCAGTCAAAGGACCCTCACCTGCCTCGTTCCTCGATCTTCAGCGTGGTGTTGCGTGTGCGAGGGCGACATGATGGGTGATGCTTGCAGCGGGAAAAATTGTTTCTCGATAAGACGCTTTTCTTCAACAACATTATCAGCTGCCCAAACGAGAAGTGCTGGATGCTTGACTTCGCGATTGAGTTCGCAATGAACGTGTTGAAAATGAGTGGTTGGTCGCAAGAAACTGGCGCTGACATTCTGCATGTTCCTCACCTGGATAGGGCCTTCTCAACACTTATTGTATTTCAGAGAATGACATCATCGTTTGGCTAGAAATCGTATTGGGAAGTCTGAAGAGAACACTGAGAAGTTGAACATCACATAAACTCTCAATTTCCGATCAACCTTCGTTTTGCTCACAAAACAAACCAAACGATAAAAACAAACCAACTGAAACAATGCAATCATACCCAAACGTCCACTTCAAAGATAATATCATCGAACGCATGGGCGGCTCGTCTAGCCTCAACATGTTGGTCGTCTCATTCTGTGAGAATATCAAAGACGATCCAAGCCTCGCCCAGTACTTTGGAAACTTCGCTTTCAAGGATCTTTCGGTGCTCGAAGAAGAACTTTTGATGGCTGCCTTAGTGGAGTCAGAGGGCGAAAACGATATTCAATCAAGGCGATCTAGGGTTGCCTTGCGTCATTTCCGATTGTTTGAATCGGGCCTGAATGAACACCACTTCGACCGTATTTCGAAGCACTTGAAATACGCACTAGAGGACTGCTGGGCTCCGGAGGACGTGATCCAAGACTGCGGAAGACACTTCGCAGGTCTTAGACCACTTTTTGAACACCAATAGAAGAATATAGTCACTGAATGAAGAAGAACTGGAGCAGTGTGGTTCCATTTCGTATCCGCCTTTTCTTTGGAGGGGATCCAGCATCATCCTTTGAAAACACGATCAAGAAGATACAACAATACGATACAATACAACCGAATAAGAAGTACTACTGTAGAATAATGCAAGAAAATAAGTCAACAATGAAGAACTACTATTTTAAAATTAAGGTTTGAAGGGATTTCCTCCCAACAAGAACATCTTCTTCATGAGCGACCCACAGCGTTGCTGTCTCCCAAGGTTACAGTGAGTGGTAGCTGCTTCCAGCGTTGTTCTTCCCGTACATCTAGACTGGCTTACGTTTCGACCTACAAAGTTCATTCGACAGATATCGACAGATATTGGATAAAGAATCATTTGTCGTCAAGACCAAATTATAATATAGAAACATTGCTTTGGGTGGCATGGTTCGACGACCGCGAACTAATCGTCGGCTGTGCCACCAATGGACATATCTTGCAAGCAATCGCCTTGTGGATTAGCTGCACACTGAATGGCTGGCGTTCCTTCTCGAGTACCAGGTAGTCATTGGATAGCTGGTACACTCGAGCTCAAAATCACTGGAAATTCGCCAGAAACTGTCAATGACATTCCACAGGTTCTTCCAAGGGATTGGGCCTTTTTGGTATTTATCATATCGGCTTCCAAATTCCAGCTTCGACATTCTTTTAGGGTGCAGGAAAAGGAACAGAAAGGAAAACGCCATCGCCATGAGAAATATATATATGGAAGAATCGCTTTGGGTCCGTGCTGGAGAACATTGAGAACGAAGACATCAATGAAATACTTTCAGCTCACATCCACTTCTTCAGCTCACAAAACAAACAAAACATACAGTATAAAACGATCCAATCCACCTACTACAATGCCATCCAATCCAAATGTCCACTTCAAAGATAACATCATCGAGCGCATGGGTGGCTCATCCAACCTCAACATGCTGGTCGTCTCATTCTGTGAGAGTATCAAGGAAGATCCAAGCCTCTCCGAGTTCTTTGGAAACTTCGCTTTCAAAGATCTTTCGGTCCTTGAGGAAGAGCTGCTGATGGCTGCCTTAGTTGAACCAGAGGGCGAAAACGAGATTCAATCAAGACGATCCAGGGTTGCCTTGCGTCACTACCAATTGTTCCAATCGGGACTCAATGAACGTCACTTTGACGTTCTTTCGAAGCACCTGAAATTCGCACTAGAGGAAAGCTGGGTTTCGGAGGATGTGATCCAAGACTGCGAGAGACATTTCGCAAGTCTTAGACCAATTTTCGAGCATGCATAGACAAATAGTGAATGGAGGTGGCTGGGAGCAGCGTGTATCCATTTTGAACAAATGATCACTGCTTTTTTCAAGAAGATACAATACTATACAATAAAATACGAAATACTAATAAATCAACGAGCAAAAAATTCATTTATTGCATCAATACCGCTGCGATAACAATAGTCGTAGAGCCACATAAAGTCTAAAGTTGTTTACACCTGTTCATTACTTCTCTATCGATATGTTTGAATGATTCTAAAGTGGTGTTCATAAGAGTTTGAGGTAGCGCTGCAATAAGACCAACGATGGTGGCATGTCTTGAGTGGCCACTTGGTCTATTAGGATTTTCTTCAGTTCACTTTCCAATACAAATATGGTCTGCAACGGAGGTTTCTCCCCAAAGATAGCCCGCATGTTCGTGTTGTTTACAGCATGTTTCGGTCCAAGGGGGCTGTCTCCCAAGGTAGCATTCTTCTCCTGTTGATATCGCAACGAGTTTTCGACATCCAAGTCATCGGGAAACCGTCGACGTGTTGCCAACCAAATATCCCTGCAGTCTTCAAGGATCGGTTCGAATGCAGCTGTGGTACGAACTCCTCGAGCATTCGGATGAAAGCATCCAATGGCAACGTCGAGTGCAGGAGCCAGCGTGGATTCTTCCTTCACAACAATGTGCATGAGTATCCTTCCTGCCGCACCTCGGTTATTGACAATAAGGTTCAGAGCTTTATCGCCTCCAACCCGGTGCCGTCCAATGTATTGCCACAATCGGCGTTCCCCAAGGCCCATTGGTGGCGCACGCGAACCATTAAACCATTTGGATGGGAACTTAACGTGTTGACTGACAAGCGATTGCCAAAGAGTTCCTGCTCCTTGTGCGTGAAGATATCCTGGGTCTTTTAGCAACAATCTATACTCTTTGGTGAAAGGAGATACTACGCTCTGGGCGAGATCACCGGGCATTGGCATTGGCTTAACTACCAGAGGGAAGCCCGGTTCTTTCTTTTTCACTTTCTTGGCTTGTTTTGGCTTAATCGGCGATTCTGTTTTCTTCCGAATGGGTGCCACTGGCTCTACCTCGGTCGAGAATTGACTAGCCAGGAAATCTAGTGCATCGGATTCGGCTGCGCTGATTGCCGATTGGTTGCGACTCAATGGGTACGACTTGGGAGGAGATTGGGGCTTGGATGTGCTGGAGGTATTTACCCGGGAGGGAGATGTCTGGGTGTTTGTCCTTGGTGGAGCGTAGGATGACATTGGTGTTCCCGACATGAACATTGCATATGCTGCGTCTGCCACTCCAGGTTCCTTCGAAGCGGTCGTTCTGTGTGATTCGATTGATGGAATGTCATTCATTATTGATTGCTGTGGCAGCTTTTTCTCTCCTAAATTTATCGACCGTTTTGGTGGTCGATCAATGTACGCGTCGGGGGACGATGAAAGCTTCGATGCCCTGCTCTCGTTGCTACTAAAGTGCCCCTGAGGTGTCTTTGTGAAAACATTGTCCTGATTCGAGAATTCGGCCCATTTTCCATCATTGTTGACGTCAACAAAGGAGAAATGAGATGGCGTGGCTTTTTCTATTCCCCAGACATTGTAATCGTCTTGCTCATCCTCATCTTCCGTGTCAGAAAAGTACGCACTGTTGTTGTATTCTCTAGATCGACCAGGTGTACTCTGGGGTGATGCCATGTACCGAGCTTCTTGTTGAATCAGCTCTTCTTGTTCTTTTAGTAGTTGTGCCTTGAGCATAGCAGCACCTTGAAGTATCTCATTATCAGTGATATCGGTGGGTGTTGTTCGTTCTCGATCAACATCTGTCACCGATAATGACAAGGAGGAAGTCGATTGTGACAGGCTCGGAATATCGTTTGGAACATCGTATGCTGCTGGTTCATCTCGTTGTTCAGTGGCCGGGGCTCTAATTTGCTTTGGAGGTGATGCGCGGAGATAGCTCATATCTTTGTTCCACGGCTTTGTATTGTCGTTGTTTGTTCTAATCGTTGGCTCCACAAATTGACTTGCCCAGTGTTCCATAGTCTGTTCTTCTTAATAAGGACGACGGCGATGACTGCTGATGGAAAGGTTTGCTTCAAAAACTGGTTTGCTACCAATATAGTCTGACAGCTACTTTGCCGGCTACAAGGCGATGTTGAGTTTGCGAAAGAAAGGAAACTCTAGCTTTGTTCTCTAATGATAATGATGATAATGATAATGACAGATGTGTGCTGCACTGCGAATATGCCAAAAAGTCTGAAGTCTTCCACTATACCCTGCAGTGTCTGAGAACGTCAGCAAGTCGTATTCCAGGCTTCCGTTAAATTCCGGGATCGTTGCCTATGTGGAACGTCGCTAGGCTAAAACACTTAGGATTGGGCGATCCGGGAGTTGCTCGCGTGCGTTTCAATAGCAATAGACTAAATACGTGTGTGAAGATAAATATGAGTCTAAATCCGCACTGTACTTAGGCACATAAAATGACCGTTGACAAACTACCATTTTCGACCAGTTCGATTGAAAATCAACTCGTGTCGCAGTGCACCTCCGGCGGATCCTCGCGTCTATTTGGAATACCGGTACGAAAGATAATACTGTAGCGAGCAGCGAGAGAAGTGGTGTATTATTACTGCTTATTAGACTATCTGCAAAGTGCGTTTGTCTACATTGCCCACTCCATAGCGCTCCTAACACGCTAACGTTTGACATCCAAAATAACCCCCTTGCATCATGGTACCACTTGGAAAAGGACCGCATCACAACCAGCGCATCCTCTCCTGGAGCTCCAGCAGGAAGTCGTCAAAATCTTCTAATTTTCTAATTTGCACATCCGTCCCAGTTGATCAATGGCTGCGATGGATTGTTTGATTAATGCTGAACCATGAATGAATGAATCGATCAATCAATCAATCAAGGAATGATTGAATGAATTGATCATCTTGGCCCAACCAAAAAATGTCTTATCCGGCAAGATCCCAGATGTTCTGGAGTTGCGCCAAAGGATCAAATTCCAAAAAGTGGTCCAAAAACCCGTGGGCCCCTGTGGAGGTCGATCCCGGGGCAGACGTGGCCGCCATGACGGGAGTGATCCTCGACAGCGCACTGCGTTGACGTTCCATGATTCGTCGACGGCGTTCCTTGCGAGATCCTTGTTGGCAATGCAAATTCAAGTATTCATGCAACGTCATGGGTGTAGTCTCTCCATTATCGTCTTCGCCCTCGACAATCAAGACGACTTGCTTCGGCATCTTGCCACCCGAAGAGGATGATGATGATGAAGAAGAGTACTCTCTTTGAAGCTCTGGAGCGTCAATCACCACTTTACAGGCCTTTCGCGATGGAGGTTCGGATTTGATGGTAGCTGCGCATTTGGCAAACTGCGAAATCTCATCGGCACCACCATCCGAAAAGACAGACATCATGGTAGGATTGGCTAGGGAGAATGGTAGTTCGCCCATGCCATCTTCGTCTTCTTCTTCTTTTGGCATCATGGAGCTGTCCTTTATAACGGAGGCAAACATGTTGGTGATGCAGGAAATGCCATCACCCGTTTCTTCGAGAGGTTCCCATTGATCATACCAATCACGTTCGGATAGTGATGATTCGGAATCAAATTGGTCTTGTTCTTGTTCTTCGTCTTCATCGTTCATTTCGTTGAGTGGTTTGGTTTCAGAAACAGCCGACATGGACGCTGCATCATTCTCGTCGTCATCATCACCACCACCATCGTCAGCATGAGCTTCGATTGGTTCACTGACAAGGGCGGGGGCACCGTTCGCGGAATCCTCATTAGCATCAGCATCCTCAACAAGGGCAACAGCAGGAGCAATGGTTGCTCCAGCTGAATCTTGTTGCTGAGAGTTTGCTGCTGCTGCTGCTGCTGCTTCCATGTTTGATGCCTCAGCGACTTGCAAATCTTTGGCACTTTCCTCCACTTGAAGAATGTTGGATTCCTGGTTTCGTTCTTCTGGTGAAGCCTCTGCTGGTGTCAGACTGGAGGATTCCGGAGACCGATCTTCTTCCAGATTGGTCTCGAAGGAATCTTCGTTCGCAGGCATTATTCTCGCCTCTTCCGATCGAACCTTAGGGGCCAAGTAGACAAACTCTTCGTCTTGATCTTGGGCAGTGGTAAAGGTCCTTTCGTCTTCCGGTCCTGTTGAATTGATTGATAAGAGAAAAAAAGAGAAAATCTTGGGTGTCAGCATTCAGATCCAAAAAATATCTAAACACATCCTAACTGCAATTTCAATAACGTAATAGTAATATCAAACGTACCTTCTATTGTGTGATGCTCTCCCATGACCTGAGTGGCATCGTCATCGACTGAGGAAGCTTCGGAATGGCAATCTTCGGCATTGTCCACTTGATCAGAAGAATCATCATTGGAAGATGAATCCTTATTCCCAGTGCTCTCCTTGTCCACTTCATCCGAGACAAGAGTGCTGGTTCCACCGTAGGCAGAGAGCGTTTCCGGCCAGGTATCTTCATCTGCATCCAATGCCTTGTACGGATAATCATCGTCATCCGGTCTAATGATTAATTCAATTTCTTGTTCGCAAGCCATTGGCTTTCCAGGAGATTCATCAAACGGGACTTCGGAATCATCGTCCCCTTGCGAGGTTGGACTTTCTTCAATCCAGAACATGACTGATTGACTGATGAGTGAGTGAGTGAATGAGTGAATCGATAGATGGGGGTCTGCTTATTTCAATAGTTGAATGGTAGTTTAGTAGAAAGAAGTATCAATCTACTGAAATTTCGCTTCGATTATATGCCTGTGCAATTATCTTCTCATCTTCCTGACAAAAAGCCTCGTGTACAATTCGTGGGATAGGGTCAAGCAAGCAGGTATCTCTGCAGGCTTCTTGTCGGATTGCGCGCGTTATACAAAACCATAAGTAAACAAACGTTGTTTTTTCCGCGGAATCGTTGATGCTAGTCAAGCGCGACGAACGGCTCGAACTGGCTCGAACTCTTCCGCAGGCGGGGCCTCTACATAGCTGTAAAATATGTTGGGAACGGATAATTTTCCCGCGCGAATTCAAAAGATCACGCGGGTCGAGATTCTTCGGGCAGAAGGAGGAAGCGAAGGAATAAAAGGAAACCATGCACTCACACCCAAACGACAAAGAATGAATGAATGAATGAGTGAATGAATGAATGAATGAATGAGCGAACCAGTATAAACATGCGACTTTGGAATTATATTGTAACTGAGCAACTGAATAGAATGTTCTCCTTTCTGCTGATGTTCACCTGAAGTCGCGACGAATGATGTTAACCTCGGACAAGAAGAGATAACTACTATACGATTGAAGGAGGTGATTTAGCAGCATTATTCCTGCAACCGCAACTACTGTGCATCTCGGTGTCAATGGCCATCGTCATCATCGAAACGCCAACGCAGAATCAACAATCTTCCTGACCTATGCGTCATACGTGAGGAATCCTGAAGTAGGTGATGCTTCCACCACGCACCACCAGCACGAGCATAAAATCATCCATCGAGGAGGAGGAGGAGGAGGAGTCGGTATCATCATGGCCAACAACAACAACCACAACAACAACAACCACTACAACTACCGGTGGGCTACAAGAGACGCGCATACTTCAAAGGTCTCTATTTACACGTCATTTTTACTGCTGGAAGATGTATTTCGAACAAGAAGGAACCCTTGTTGCCCTTTTGTTCGAAAATTTGGTGATGTAATGTCGTAGTGGCAGTTGAAGATTTTTTTGGATGCGTTTACGATTACCGTTGACCGATTATTTTGTGTGTGATTGTGTAGGATTGTCTTGTTGTGTGTCTTGTGTTCGAAACATGGATTATCATTTTGAAATAAATATCATGATGTAGGAAGGAACCATAGGTACTTCTTTTGGGTAGGGACAAGGCTCATAAACTCAAAGAGAGAGAGAGAGAGAGAGAGAGGCTGGCATTGAGCTATATCTGCCATCCCGCTTCTGCTACAAACGTTGTATGTGCAAACATTCCCTGCCTGAACAATGCCGATCCTTTTTCAAAAGAGTCCAACCACAATGATGACGGTCCCTCTGCTGGAACCCAAATATGAAATATTAGTTGGAGTGGGCGAGAGTATAGTGCATACTATAAAGCAGACAATCAATCAATCAATCAATCGACGAGTCAATTTTATTGGGATACCGTTGTGTATACACCTTTAAGGAAAAAAACAAGTTGAAGAATGTCCTGTTTCAAAGATAATATAGAAAAGATACAAGATAGAACAATAGCACTATTATTACTTGAAACTCTTGTTTCCCACTTTGCTCTCCACCTCTTTTCTATCATTCTTCATTGCCCTTCCAGCAAAATGGCTGCCAATCAGCAATAATACAAGGGCACTACTAGTAATTCGCCGATGAATTGGAATTGACTCTATTATTAGTGCTGCAGTAAGTGCTGATGAGTAATCTGAAGAAGTGGCCGAAGCGCACCGAATCGATTTTTCGTCTTGATAATGGCCCTCTCTTCCTTGATTTGGCATGCTGTCAACGAATTGGCCAAATGTGCAGCCAGTCGATCAAAGTATTCTTCTTTTTCCATGATTCCCAGTCGCACGTGTTTTTGCAATATCGCTTGATTGTAAACATCTGCCTTTGGTCCGCTGGTCAATTCGCTGAGATCATCGGCCAAAGCCACCAACAAGAGTTCTTTCTGCAAATGAACCAACTCTTTCCTGTTAATTCCACCTTGTTGACAGTAGATTGTCGAAAGAAGGTCGTCTTCGGCAATTCGTTCGGCAAAGTAAATGGTCAAGAAATCCAGGACGTCTTCGCCACCCATTAGATTGATTACTCGAGAGGTCGCCTTGGGAGCGGTGGGGCTTCTTGTAGGTGAATGACTCCTGCTTTGGAGAAGGAAACGAGTTTCGTAGTCACTTTTGGTGTTCTTGGTGATGAGAGCTTCTGCAGATTGATGATTCATTGCTTGATTGATTGTTCGTCTGTTTGCTTGCTTGCTTGCTTGCTTTTTCAACCAATGTATTGCTGGCGTGTATGAAAGTTAGGTTATTTAGTGGAAGCTTCCCTAACAACCTTGGTCTGCGATCTGTTATTCTTGCGCTTTCTGATTATGACTAATTTTTTTTTGATCTTGTTGACCAGATATTTCGAATAAAGTTATCATTCATTCACACAATGATGAGTCATGAGTGATCTGAATCCCGTTTCGATTCCATTCGAGGTGGTCCAAAGCAAAGTGATCATGAGATCTTTCGATCGAACAGAACATCAAGATGAATAAAAAATTCAACGCTTGATGAGACACGCATTGTGCAATCAATGCACCATGAAAAAGTGTAAAAGCTTATTAGCTTTTTATGCTTTATTCTACCATGCCAAGGCATTATCTTTTGCATCACCCTTGACACATGGAAGAACAAGGTCCCTGCTGATGGTAAATGGTGGAACACAGCAGCTGTGGTCCGAAACAGAAGAAGCAGCGTTGTCCGAAAAACTAGAATCCGATCCATCGGAAGAATCCATGATGCGAGGTGGCGAGTATTCGCCTTCTGCCTGGAACAACGAGACGGATGGTAGCAACATGCCTATGGAAGGCGATGCTGGCAGTGGTAGCTCTCCTAGCACTATTACTTCACGAACATTTGATTCTGATGCCGAGTTTCTTGAATCTGTAATAAAAGCATCCAACTTTGGGCAAGGTCTTGATGAAGGAGAGGACTTGCAAGATATCATCCAAGCCTTTGTCAAGACAAATTACTCCAAAGGGGAGCTCCTCTTTTCTGAAAAGGACGAGACTGGAGACTTTTTATTTGTGGTGGAATCTGGTCAATTCATTGTCTCTGTGGAAGGACAACAGCTACCAGCTCCCTATGGCATTGCATCTCAGGGAAGCATTATTGGTGAACTAGCACTCATATATGACACTGGAAGGGTCGGAACCGTACGAGCCAAGACAGATGTTACAGGCTTTCGATTGGATCGGGATGCCTTTCTGAAATGGCTCGAAAAGTGGCCAGGAAAACGAAACGATTTGAAGCACGAACTGAAACAGATTGACGATGTCATTGCCAAGGTATCGGGCGTCCGTCTCAAATATGGTGGTAGCGTCATTCGTAAAATCAATCCCTCTCGTCTCTGGCTGTGGACTCGATGGTCCGGGACCATTCTACAACATGCTTGGAAGGTTTCCTTGGCCAACTTGCTGACTGCCACTACCCTCGTCGTTGCAACTCGACTCTTGGCCAAACCAACTTGGGGACTTACCGTCATGCCCGATCCCAACAACCCACTCATTAGCAAAATGCTGGGCCTCTTTGATGTTTGGCAGTATCTGATGACTGTGACGACTTTTATCTTGACATTCTTTTTGGGACAGGCCTACAGTTTGTGGAGGGACATTTACTCGACGGCTCGGGTGGTCCAAGGACGACTCAGTGATATCAACTTGATGTTGGCAGTTTCGGCAGAACGAGATCGGAGTGGAGCGTACACCAAGAGGGCCAGAGAATTAATGGAAGACGTGGCCAGTTATACTAGATTGTATCACGTATTCATGTGGGCATCCTTTTCCAACAAACTCAATCTGTTATTGAGTGACATGGGACTCCGGCGAATGGTGAATCGAGGAGTATTGAGTAGGAAGCAATTCAATACACTTCAAAAGCTGGATGCTACTACGGTGGCCCCTCAACATGCATGTTTGATCTGGATCATGACTCGATTTCTAAAGGGAATGCAAGACAATGTCGTTCCCAACGATGTGACCATGAAGCAAACGTTATTCAACAAGGCCATGGAACTACAAGGAACCTTTGCTGGAGTTGGAGGCAAATTGGCTGGCAGATCACCGCTGGCATATGTTCATCTAGTCCAAATACTTGTGGATTCCTTTTTATTACTGGCACCGGTTGCTCTCACGTACAAGCTTGGGGTATGGGGCATTCCTGCAGTTGGTATTTTGACGCTCTTTTACTCGGGACTATTGGATTTGTCCAAGATCTTGTTGCACCCATTAGGCAATGACGATGACATTTATGACGAATCCGTAAACATGGATCTAGCTGTGATTATTCGGGAAAGCAACGGTGGATCCACCCGATGGATGGACGGTGGTGAATTATTGCCATTTTAGGATTGATTGATTGATTGATTGATTGATTGGATTTATTCATTCATTCGGCATAATACTGTAGATTGGGTTTATAGCTATGCAATGGTGTCAGATTTTCACTGTAATATTCGCAATACACATTACAAGTATCTTATTTTATAGAGTTGTGATGTAATACATAATTACTAACTCAATGATTGCCTGGGCAGAAATCCAAAGAATCTTTGCCATGTTGTGTATGTCACCGTGGCGCCCTTGCTTGACTGGTGCTGACCTCTTGGTGCTGCTGCCGTCGTCCCCGCTGCAGTATTGTTGTTGCTTCCAGTCACGCCTCTGGATTTTGCAGCCGGTTTCTCCTTTTTCTCCTTCTTTTGCTTCTTGTCGCTGCTGCTGCTACCGCCGCCACCAAACAATCCTCTGGATTTTGCAGCCGGTTTCTCCTTATTTGTCTCGTCCTTATTGTTATTGCCACTGGCACTAGCAGCCGCCGAAGCATCGTTCTTGGGTTTGGGTGGTTCTGATTCGATATGCTTGAGTTTGGTACCCGCCCATGGGGAAGGTGCGGCATCATCACCAGCCTGTGCAGCTTCGGTATTGAGAGTAGCTTTGCTGTTGGTAGAGGGTGTTTTCTTGAGTTGGGTTCCCGCCCACGCTGGCGGCTTGTCCCCACTTGCTGCGGATGTGGGACTCTTATTGTTGCTGTTATTGTTGTTGGTTGGTGAGGGTGTCTTTTTCAACTCATTTTTCGCCCATGGCACTGCTCCTTTATTATTATTGTCGCCGCCGCTGCCGCCAGGACTAGTCGGTGTGGTACTTTTATTGGCACCACCAGGACTTGTCGGAGCACCATTTGTTTTCTTGAGCGCTGCTCCCCCCGCCACCCATGGTGCCGGGGCTGGTGCTGGTGTTGGTGCCTTTGGTGTAGTGGAAGTCGGAGCGGCTCTCGATTTGGCTGCTCCCACTGGAGCTGGTGCCGCTTTTGATTTCGACTTATTGGGAGCTGGTGAATCGTCGACCGCGGAATTACTTTTGCAACACAACCCGCCACCGGATTTCTTTTTATTACCACCACTGGCGGCGGAGGCGGCGGGCATGCTTCTCGATTGCGATGCTGGTGGCGTATTTTCTTTCGCCGCATCAGCATCCGTTTCTGCTGGTGTTTCGTCTTCCTCGTCGTCAATTCCTAAGACTCCCTTCTTGTTGAAGGTGCCCTTTTCATTCATATCATGGACTGTCTGGTAATCCCCTACAAACTCTGGCTGGACCCAGGCAGACTGCTTTACAAATCTGTAGTGGTTGTACAAAAGGTGAGAATAACTTGATGGATGGATGGATGGATTGATTGATGGATGGGTCGATGGATGGATGGATGCATTGACGACATGCCTTAAACATAACAACAACAAATAAGGAAGAACTGCCAGCCAAATAAATGAAAGAAAAAAACTCACACTTGTGGATACTTGGTTCCCAATCCAGATACCTTGAGCAGATCGTCTCTTTGTTGCTTGGCTGCAGGATCCGCACCATCGACAATCTCCACCTTACCCAAGTTGCTGGCATTGATGATCGATTGAATGACATCTTGGTTCTTGTTTTCTCGATCCGTCGTTTGTCGACTAATTAACAGAATCAGTTTGGGATAATCATCGTTTGGATTTTTCGGTGGGGCAACCATTTTTTATATGATACACTGGCAACAACGAGATCGAATGCTACTCTGATATCGAAGCCGGGAGGATAGTAGAGAGGAGAGCGTAGTAAATACCTATGATGTTGAAGCGACCCCCAAAACCTGACGATAATGACCCACAATAAGCCACAAGGATCTTGCCTTTTATATGCTTGATGTCCATGTGACTACAATGACCCGATTCAATCCCGAACCATGTGGTACTACTTTAGTACTCCTTAGTGCTTCTTGATGATGATTCGAAGGAGGTCCTAAGTGCAGATCTAATCAAAAATCTGTATGGTTGTTATTTTATAAAATATAGTTGTTAAAAAAATTACTACATTGCTTCTATACATCGTAAACTGCTATAGTAGGAGGACTCATCCGCCGTTGTGGCAGCCGCATCGGTGTATCAATGCTAGCGGAAGAGGAGGAGGATGCTCGACTTTGGCACGAGCGTTGACTCTTTTCCAGATTACTAGTAGTACTACTAGTACTACTCATAGTAGTAGTACCTGGCCTTGGTGGTGGTGGTGCAGAGATGGAGGGCAAGGATTCCTCTTCAATGGAGTAATCGGAATCGGAATCCTCCATAAAAGAATCAAACGAGCTTGCCAATCGTGCCGGCATGCAGAGTGCAGATTCTTGTGGCTTTTTGAATGCTGTATAGTCTTCTGTTGATGGTGGTGCTAGCTGCACCGAACCAGAACTCCAGCGTTTGTGAATGGACGAAGGATTGAAATCATCTTCGACTAAATCGTCACTACCAGGCATGACTGGCACGGCTTCAAAGATGGATTCTTGGTTTTCACTGATGATATCGAGTGCGGAGGAGGTACACAAGAGTAGTGACGATCGTGCGCGTGAAAACATGGGTGGAGCCGTGGTGCGAGGACTACTGCCGCCATTGTTATTCGTGGCGGTGGTGGTAGCCAAGTCTTCCCATCGTTCGTCATCTTCTTCTTGCATGACATGATCAAAGTCCCCTCGACTGGCAGTCAAGTCCGACACCACGCCTTTGGGAAGGCGGGTTGTGGATGGTGGTGCAACTTGATCGGTTGGAGCGACTTGACCCGCTTTGGCTTGTTTACCGGTTGGTCGAGAAGAGGAGGAGGAGGAAGAGGTCTTATTCTTGTTGTTGTTCTTGTTGTTGCTATCCCCTTTGCCTTGTTGTTTGGGGGGCGGCTTGGCAGACCTGGAACTTTGATGCTGCTGCGCGGGAGAAACCGTTGGCTTGACTTCTTCTCCAAAGACAGAGCGTCGGACCACCCAGAGCCGACTTTCTTCTTTGTGGAGGTGACGAAACTTGAGGTACTTTGGTCGGATAAAGACCATCATGTTCAAGAATCCTTGAAGTGGCGAAAAGATGGACTGCAACAAAAAGATGGGAAAGGTTCGGACCAACATGGTCAAATCCGCTTCAAGTGTGTCACCTTGATCTTCCAAGAGTCCCGTAAAGACAGTCCAGATATTGGAGATGAGAAAACATGCCACAAACAAGACAGCCTGCGAACTGACTAATCGTAGTCGCCGGGCTTGGTCCTTGTTGATGGTCGTTGTTTCACCGTACTGAACGCTTCCCGCCATGATGTCATTGGTGGAAGAGTCGTTGGTGCAAGATTCTCTGCCGCTAAAGGTATATTTTTTGGCTTCTTGTGGAGTACTAGCACTCACAGACGAATCATCGTGATCATCATCATCATCATCATCAGCAGCATAATCATCACTATCCATATTGCTCTCATCGGTGGTGGAAAAGAGACGGGAGCTGCTACCGGTAGATTTGGTTCCAAGAGTGATACTCCTGGAAGTGGCACCTGGCACTACTTGTGGACGGATTTGTGCGCGGGCATAGAGAAAGATGATGCGGTTGTTCACAATCAAACTAATGGACACCACTGCCAGTGGAACCGCACAGGAAAGATACCGCAAGACGCGAGCCGGACATAGAAACTCTTCCTGACAGTTTTCAGTGGTCACCACAACCCAGCAACCAATTCCCATGATGACTTCCCCATACCCGTTCAAGAGAGCCTCTGCAATAGCAAAAACTAGCGGATATCCAATGGAAATAATGTGCATCCAAGGCTCGATCCTTCTGGCGATGCAAGAATTGGATAAGCCATATCGGGCCGTTAAAAGAAAGTAAACTCCCAGCATTCCTTGATAAATGATCGTCCCGTGGCTCAATTCGTTCACAAAGCCTAGAACGTTGCAAGTAGTCTTGTTTCCAAAACTGAGTGTGCGCGGACTCGTCTCTTGTGGACGCAAAAAGGCCGCCACACACCACACGAGACTGTACAGTATATCGTAGACGCTCATGGCAAGGAGCAATCTCAAGTAAGGAGTCAGTTTGCGCTGCTGTTTGGCTTTGAAGATCATGTAAATGATCACGGAACTCCCAAACACGCTCAGAATGGCACTTGGAATTGGCGAATACGCCAACAATTGTTCTTGGAGATCCGAAGGGTGTAAGGAGTCTCGTATGGTGTCCGTCTCTGCATCATGACTAGTATTGGTAGCTGTAGTGTTGTTGTAGTCTATCGTCGTCATGGTACTGTATGGTAATAAATATCGTTTGAATGAATCCGTTCGTTGGATTGAAAATGGAAGAGATTGAAAAAGTGGTTTTGGAACAGAGTCGTGAAAGCAGCCCACACGGTGGTATAGTATTCTCCACGTTACTTAACAAACTGGGGGAGCTATTCGACAGCGTTTTTCTAAGAGGGGCTTTTCATCTACCTCTATTTAAAGCGAAGACATGATCATTTCATTAAAACATTAGATAAAACGTATTAATATTGAAGAACGTCTGATGCATGTTCTGACCTGAAATTGGGGGAACTTGAACGGATTTTCTGGTTGACAAACTGAAAACGAAAGACCGGCGGATCAGCCGAAGTATGTCCGGATGATTTGGAACCTATAAGTAGATGAAGGCAATCAGTCATTTCTACCATAAACAAAATCAAAACCTTTCCAGTACCAGGTACCTTGATCTAAGAACCAATGCGATGACGTAATGCGACCGAAAAGTTCTTACCAAGGGAGCTAAAGTTTCCACCACGAGAGTGACAGTGCGGTTCGCAACAAACGCCAACCCCGGTTGGTACCCGTACCGTACCTGCCGAGGTACTGTAGGTAGCACGTTATTACTTTCGTTGATCACAACCTTCGAGCTCAATCATTGGAATTCCGTTCAAGTACGATGCACTGTAAAATCTCTTCCCAATTCATTCCAGCCACGAACCTTGTTCTTCTTGAAACCCCCGACAGTAAGCTGCTGCTTGCTACTGTCGGTCATGAGGAGGACGTTTGTACCGGTAGGTTCTTCCGACCACAGTGCCGGCAACAGGAATCAGGGAGGTACGGTACCATCTGCATTCGGCTGCTTTACAGTACGTGTACCACCGGTATCGTGTACGAGCCGTGCTACCATGATGTACCTGCCCTGTAACATGCATAGGAGGCAGGTACATTATTATACCTACGATATTTGGTTACTGTCATTGTACCTGTACAGGGGTCGTGCGGTTTACCGGTCCCGGTTGATCTCGTTCGAATGACTCTACATTGAAAGGCCGCAGTGATATACTGGCATGCCGGTTATTGCACGCCATCGTTGCAAAAAGGGATGTTGTTTTATTCCCTTTTTCTCCATTTTCCATTGAACTTATTGAACCCAGAGCGCACCGACCATCAGCACGTACACTACGCGCGTATTCAAATATGTATCTGTATTATATACCGGTACGGAATACTGTAATATTCATCGTACAACGTTAGCTGCTATTCATAGTTGCAAAGATCAATACAAGTAATACAATATTATACAATAATATAATACAATATCTATGCTCAATCCGAAAGAAGCCAAACGATTGCTGGAACATTGTCTCCCAGCTTTGCAACAATGTCGGTCATCGTCGTCGTCAGCCTCATCGTCGGCCTCATCGTCAGCACCTTCGTCCAAGAACAATAATACTAACAGCAACAGCAACAGCAAGAATAAGAATAAGAATAACACACAGCCACAATACGACAATAAGATTCAAGTGGAAAACATGTGTCGTTTGTGGGGAGGAATGGGATATGTGTATCAAATTCAAGTTGCTGTTGACCATGATCGTAGTAGTGACGATCTAGTAGAATTCATTATGATTGTCAAACAAGTCTCCAACAATAATAACAAGCGATTGAGTTTGGGTGATCAACGCAAGGCCGACAGTTACGAGTGCGAGGCCAACTTTTACGAACACATGGCACCAATCTTACTTCAAAAAGGATTGGAAATTCCAACTCCATTGCATGTCGAGCGACAAAATAAGGGAGTGACAATTTGCATGACCAAGTTACACGGAGATTCGTCGTATTTGGGACAAGACGAAACCAAGGCAGCTTTACAATGGTTGGCCACCCTGCATGCTGCCACTTGGGGATCTACGGCAGACAAAGCCGTGGACGAGTTTGGTCTGCAACCACAAGGATCCTATTGGTATTTGGAAACGAGACCTGACGAACATGCTTCCATTCGATCCAAAGGATGGGAGGGTCGATTGAAGCGTGCTGCCACGGCCATTGATGAGCGATTGAAGCGTGATCCAATGCAGTGTTGTGTCCATGGAGATGCCAAGGGTGCCAACATGTTGTTTCGTCAACATGAGGGCGAACTCGTTGTGGGCATGTACGACTTTCAGTATTGTGGCAAGGCACCGCCTACCAAAGATCTGGCGTATTTTCTGTGTGTGGCGGCGGATGACAATGACAGTTCGTACTTGGAGTATTATCATGAACAATTACTGGAACGATTGGATCATGAATCATCATCATCTTTGTATCGCCCAACGTTGGAAGAACTGCAGGATTCTCTCGATCTTGCCTACTGTGATTGGGCACGCTTCATGGCTGGATGGGGATACTGGGGAACAGACATATCCAAACATGTAATCAAAGTCTTGGATCGATTAGATGGTGGAAAGGATTTGGGAACCGAAGATGCCTATCGAGAAGCTGTATTGCGAGAATATGGATAGAAGAGGTCTTATATACGGTAGCTGATAGATTTATTGTTTTCTTATTTGTTGTCGTGGTGCTGCTTCAGACATTCTTTATAATCTTAAAGACGTGTGAGTCCCATCTCATCTTCTCCCCAGACAGACCACTTGGCTTCAAATGCCTTGTATAGGACATCCTAATGCTACCGTACTGTTTAGAATACCATTTATCTAAGACGTAACTACTGGTATACCAATACCAGATAACAATACCGTGGTCTGTAGTCTAGATACGATGTTGAACATATACTGTATTTTATGGAGGGAGGCGGACATTCATTTAGGACAGGTACTTCTGTAGTAATAAATTCAAGTTTTGGGGAGCCAATGAAACGCGAGGGATAGGGTGTGCTTGCGCGCGCATTCCGGCCAAATTCGCGCGGGCACTGGTTTGAACCTTGAGAATGCATCACGCCATCAAGCCTCGCATCTCTCTCGTCAAATGACATATTCATATATTCAGAACAAGAGCGCAGCACATTCATATCTTTCCCATTGCCAAGAGAGGTGCTTTACAGGTCCAGTCCAGCATCGCATCCAAGGCTTCGAAGCAGTGAGTGAATCACTTGCAGCGCCGGAATCAAGCCTTCAATCCTTCAATTCGAATTCTTTTTTTTACAAGATTGGATTGCTGCTCAAGCTTATTAGTATTAATATTTCCTTTTGAAACTCATTTCAGCTGTCTAGCAGTCCTTCTTCCTTCAGTCCGCAACATACTGTACAATGTCGTCTTGGATGACTTCTGGCAAGGCTAGACTCAATGCTCGTCAAAACAGGACCTTTGAGAAGCGTGCGCAGCAACGAGCCCGTGTTATGACAGCGCCGGAAACCAATTCCGGTAGCAGCGTTCCGCAAAGGATTTTGAGAGAAAGGCAAATCAGTCATCCCAATGCCAATGCCAATGCTACTGCCAATACCAATACCAATACCAATACCAATGCCTATTATCATCCAGGAGATCCAAATCGAGGAATGAAACGAAACCGCAATAGCAATATTGAAATCATTTCGGGAGAACAAGGTGAGTTTTTTCTTATTAGAGAGAAAGAATACCGGCGTATGATGAACCTGATCTGACTGCTAGTAATACTATCTCTACTTCTACAGCCAAAGCAAAGTATTCGCCAAACAATCCCATTCGAAGACGTGGGGTTATAGCTACTGCACGAAGGATACACCATGCTCATTCGCTAGACGAACATCACCATTGGCAGCAGTTGCAATCGCAATCGCACTCGTATCCACCACCACAAAACGGAGGCGAATACCTGCATGCTCCTCCATACCATCCAGATCCTCACTACGACCAACATGATCATAATCAGCAACATCACCACCACCATCGCCCTCATCGTTATCCTCCTCATCATCAATGGTCGGGCGACGAACATTCTCGTAGCTACCATCACCATTCTCGACGAAATCATCATTATCCAAATCACAATCACTCAAGGCATCGCATGGCACCTTACATCCGAACTTCAACCGGCCGTGAGACAATGACCTATGACTACAAGACTGCTCAATGGGTACCCTTGCCTAGTAGCCCACAACCATACGAGCCTCCTCCTTCCGATCCGATCAAGGAAGCGCAAGTCTATCCAAGTGCCCAGGAACCACTGTTGGAGAAGTATCAGCACCATCCGCAACAATATTATCATCAAAATTATATTCCACGACCACCATTTGAAAATAGACAACCTCCGCATTACAAATATCATGCTAGTGGTGGATGGGAGTCATCCAACCGGAGCAAGCTTGACGAGAACGAATTGAGTCATCATCATCATACTCATATTCATCCAAAGCCACCGTTTCAAGACAAGCAACTTCCACACTACAAACACCCAGGTGGAGCTAGTGGTGGATGGGAATCATCCAACCGTAGCAAGCATGACGAAGACGATTATCTGTATTATGGCGACCAAACGTCTGTTGGGAATCATCATCATTTGGAGACAGCGACTAGCTTTGAGATGCCTCCTGACCCAAATGAAAATGTCTACTTACCACCACCGCCACCACCACAACTTGCTGGCTATGAAACCATGGGCGGTGCAGCGTTAGCCCAAGCTACTATCACCATGGGACATGATCACAAGTCCGCTTGGGATCAGGATATCCAACCTCCACATTTGCAGCATGACTACGATCGTCAACACGACGATTTCCAACTGGAGGAATCAGCAGCAGCTAATGAACATGACGTAATTCCCAAAGTCCAGTATTCCAAGAGTGAAATGGAGCCATGGGAAGTAGCGGATGACCAACAACAACTGCAACAACCCCCAATGACTACTACTTCACGTATTGAACGATCCAATACCTGGAGTCCTGGAAGTGCCGCCGAGCGTCAATCCTTTACCCTTACCTCCTCATCCCGTGGGCGACGAATTTCAAGGTATTCTCCACCGAAACTTCCTTACTCGCCACCACGACTGCCAGAAGGCTTGGAACGATTCCAAAAGAAGCGTAGAGTGTTCATGACTCCAACAGCTACCAGCAAGGAAGAGCAACAGGTCGGAGAAGAAGAAGACGAAGCATCCTTGAGTAGTCAAGCAGCAGCACTAGGGCCACGATTGTTTAACAATGGAGTCCAAGTCAATGAAGACGGAACTCCACTGGTGTTTGGACCACCAGTAGATGCATCGTCCGAGTAAAAAGAAAGAATGGATGGGATTTTCTTCATAATAGGACCTAGGAATATTATACATCATAAAATAAAATAAAATAAAACAAACTAATCTAGAAAGCAAGCGACTACTGTAGTTTTGCGCTCATTGATATATTTGACAGTCTCTGAAGCGATTTCAAAAACTTCGCGTTTACTACAGTACTGTACAGTACTGCACGAGTCAGTCTTCATGTCGAGTTCGTATTTTTGCTTTTACGAACTCGTTGATATCGCGCAGTGCGCACGTCATCATGTTCAAAAACGCATGATAAAAAATAACGTGGGCGAATCCGTCGCGTCGGCACTGTTTTTCGCTCGTCGGCCTCAAAATAGATCCGGTAGAATACCTACTCACATGTTGCGCTTCAAAGTCATGCCAAACTGTTTTGGTCTGCCAATCGCCGGAGAACGTGTCAGTTATTGAGCAAACGAAGCCGTCGACGTGGTGATGCGTTGTCTGCGCGTAGCATGGTGGTCTGCCAATCACCGGAAATGAGATTCTCACAAGCATGGCCGCAATGCCGGCACATTCTGAGGCGCAAAATCACTGCCAACAGAGCATTTTATTGTCTTGTATTGGACATTTCCGGTATTGTTTTGGCATCAGAGCAACTTGACACAAACAGTAACAGTAACAGCCACGCAACCATACCATAGCATTACAATATGAAGATCACCAACCCTACCGGCATTGACATCTTTGAGGTTATCCTTTTCAAGGTGGAGTTTCTTCCTCACCTCGTGACTTTCTTGACATTGCTTTGGTACTTCATTCCCAGCAGCAGCAATGACATCAGCAACATCAGCAGCGACATCAGCAATGTCACGAAAGGAGCCAAACCTGCAAGGAAGTGGGTGACCCTCAAACTCTTTGTTCTGCTTTACATCCCATTGTGCATTGTGGTCATGGCTGCCACCACCTTTGCCGTCTCTTGGGAAGATGCGTACATGCGAGGATACGATATCTTTTCGCAGCCCTCTTTGCGCCCCATGTTGGAGGCGTATATTGAGACTGGTGACGGTGATTTGACTGACATTTTGGAATCGAACAAGTATGCGCCTACGTTGGGTGTCTACGAAATCCGATACTTGTTCAAAGATCTGTTGCGTCACACCTTGCTTCACTCCAATGACCACAATGAGGATAACATTGACGAAGGATACAACAAGGGAAATGACTGGTTTCGATACTTTTTGGGAGAAACAATGATGTACACCAGTGGACTCTATCCCACCGGGAAAGAATCGCTCACGGAAGCACAGAACTATAAGATTGATTACGTTGCAGACGCGATTCAGGTCCAACCTGGTGACAGTGTATTGGATATTGGATGTGGCTGGTCTTATCTGGCCAGACGTCTAGCGGAAGAGCACGGTGCCAACGTGACGGGCATTACTCTCTCGAAGGAACAGAGGCAGTACTTTCTGGACCTCGATTTTCAGAACAAGGTCACGATCTTGCTCCAAGACGCCATGCGCCTAAAAGAACGAAATGATCTACCAATTGGTGGATTCGACAAGATTACCAGCTTGGAAATGGCCGAACACGTTGGAATTCGCCGGTACCAAGAGTTTCTCAAGCATGTGCACAGTCTCCTGAAAGACGATGGAGTCTTTTACTTTCAGGTCGCTGGACTTCGTCGTGCCTGGCGATTTGAAGACTTGGTCTGGGGTCTATTCATGGGAGAACATGTCTTTCCAGGAGCCGACGCTTCCTGTCCTTTGGGTTGGGTCTCGACCCAAGTCGAACGTGCTGGATTTGAGATTCAGCGCGTCCACAACATGGGCACTCACTACAGTCGCACCATTGATCACTGGCTAGAAAATTGGCGTTCCAACCAACAGGAGGTTGAACAAAAGTTTGGTGCTGCTGCCTATCGTCGATGGGAAGTCTTCCTTGCTTGGTCTGTCCGTGTGGCAAGGCAAGGATCCTCCACTCTCTTCATGTTGACTCTCACCAAGGCTGGTCAAGAAGCACGTCGCATCGAGTCACAGATGAATGTGGTGCCGAAATATGTTCAGTACAAACCTGAATTTTAAATATGTTTTGATTTCATTGGATGACGATGAATATAATGATCAAAGATCAAACCTTCTCAATTAGGATAGTTTTGCTAATCAATTTTATTAGAAGCAATTTTATTAGAAGATGCTTCGCTTTTACAATCATGATATTGAAAACAGTGAAGGTCACAGCAAATCCGCAATACACCAACTTTGAATCATCGATGACATCATTGCTCATCGTTATTGGTGCGCTCGACTTTCCAAGTCCACTCGTGAATGAACGAATGAATGCGATTCGTTCATTGAAGATAAGGATAATGAAGCTCAAATTATGACTTGGCTACTGAGCTGAAGGATCATCCTTGGATTGCGGGTGTTCAGTGAACCGAGTATCCAACTTGCTTTTTTTCTTTCTGGGATCTCCCCCGTATTGTCACAGCTCTGTCAATGAATTGGTCAGTCACCACCGAGGCCTTGCAGAACTTGTGCCCTGGTGACATTCTGATTTCTCAAGCTTTCTGTTACAGCCTCTCGGAGCTGCTCAACAATGTCAAACACGCTAGGTCTCAAGTCTGGATTGTATTCGAAGCATTGCTTGATGATCTCAGCAAGCCTACCTTCTTCCTTACTACGGGCCCAGAATCGGGGATCGATGTATGCGGTTTCTCCTCGCATCACCAATGGCTACAGTATCCAAGAACAGGAGGGTAAACACAAATATTGAGCCATCTATATAGTGACCTGAAAAATCGATGATTTGATTCACGTACCTGCATTTCCTTCGAATGCAACCAAGGAAACGGATCCAAACCCGTGAGCAAAGTGTACATGTTATTTCCCAGCGACCAGACATCTATTTTCTCATTCAATCCTTCGTTTTTATACTCTTCTGGAGCCCGCCACTACAAGATGATAGCATAGAACCAGTGAGGAAATGGTTGCTTCAAATCATGTCAAATGCTGTATCTCCTACTTACATTTCCATTCCCTCCACCATTGTGATACTTGCAGTATGTCTCTTTGGATTCGTCATATAGCATGTATTCTGCCCGATTGAAGTCATTGATCTTTAGCATCGTCTTATCCTTGTTGAGTAGGAACTGTGATAACTGAATGTCGTCGTGAACAATGACACCACCGGCGTTACCATGCAGCAGGGCTATTCCCTCAGCCATTTCCAGTGCCAGCACCACCTTTTCTCTGCCGGTGAGATTGGTTTGTACTTCAAATTCTTCAATCTCCCGTAGATCTTCACTAACTTCTCCTTCATCCTCGTATGCAACCTCTTCAATGTCGCCATGGAAGAAGTACTCGGAAAGGATACCGACACCACAAAAGCCATAGATATCAAAAGTGCGCGGACTTGCCGATAGTCGCTCGGCAACAGCTGCATCCATTCGTATGAACTCACTGTTCTCGTCATCGACGTCATGGCTGTGGATATGGTATTACCAGATTCATTAGATACGCGAATCATTGAAATGGCTAGATCATGAACCCATATTGTGACTTACTCGAATCTGAGCTCTTTGAGTACAAACTGTTCGATGCCCCCCTCAAACGGGCGAGACAAGCCAAAAACTTCACGAAAGGCACCCTCTCTGCGGATCCAACTGTGAGTTTACATGATGTCTCAAGATTTTAGTAACCCAAACAGAGCCCAGAGTTCTTCAACGTACCCTAGAAACTTGATGCTTTCTTCCAAGAGATGTTGTTCATGAAAGTTGTTGCAATTTTGAAAATTAATCCGGTGCTCTGAAACCCTTCGGCAGGGCTCCTTTGTCTCTGTTTGCCCACCTCTGATTGCATCATCATCAAAGGCATAGTACCTTCATTGTTCATTGAAGGATGAGTGATGGAAGAATGGAAACATTAGAATTGTTTACTTTGAAAAAAGGATAAATCAAACAGGTGCAAGAACTTACGGCGACACGAAATCATCGTCTTCATCTGATGTTTGATACTCACTCCTATCTGGCAGGTGTACCTGTCTACGTGCCTCATCGTTATCTTGAAAGAACTCCAGCTTCAACTTTCCATATTCACCTGATGCTGCCTCATCTTCGTCTTGCAAAGGTTGCAATGGTGATAACAGTGGCGGATACACTAATAGCTTTGATGATGCAGGTGGATCAAAAACATGACTAAAAATAATAGTTGTTGGCTTGGAAATGTGCCCTATCCTCGGTATTATTCTTCGAACATTCATCAGTGATGAATTGCGGTTCAAGCTTTCCACTTGCATGTACGCGACGAATACCAGAGTGAGGCATGCCATTAGGGCCACTGGAAAGAATGAAGCAGCTAATGGATTATAAACATTTGACTGAAGCTTGGATTGCCGTTTAAGTGATGGTGAAATCCTTCTGCCATCAGGATCACGGCAATTATGATGCAGTATTTTCCCCTTATGGTGTGGAGGCGACAGAGCGACCGTCGTCGTGCTGTATCTATTGTTTTCTATGTCTCTCATTTGTGACGATACTGTAATGCTGCTTTAGGTCTTCAGTACCGACAATATACTTCAGATGTTTTGTTATCGGCGTATGTATCATCGTCATGAAATTTTCTGTTTTGTCACGATTGGCAAGTGAAAAGTGAGAAATCTAGGAAATCTGACGTTTTGATCGAAAATATCGTGTCAATAAGTATTAGGACATCTTTAAATTTATTTAGCCCTATATGAAAAAAGTTGCTTAAGATTGGCATTACGCGCCTGTCGAACATGAATCTTGTGTAAATCAAATTGCCGCCATTGATATACCACAGGCCCATGGTTCCGAACATGAGCCATCACTGCTGTGGAATTATCTTTTGATCTCTGAGTAATTACGATGTGTCAGGTTAGAAGGAATTTATTGAGTAACTAGGCTAAGATGGGATGAGACGAAAGAAACCTCGGCTTCACTTCCTGAATGATACCCACCCGAACTCTGGCCGTTTGTTTGTGCTGAATCTTTATCATGTATTTTCAAACCATGTTACAATCCGTCACACACAATCTCAAGTCGGGAATATTGGACCAGAATTGTGATCGAATGAAATAGAAAGTCTGAATGGAACGATTGGTGGGACAAAGAGCGAACGAATGAATTTGTCAGTCACTAAGGCCTTGCAGAACTTGTGCTCTGGTGACATTCTCATCTCCCAAGCTTTCTGTTACAACCTCTCGGAGTTGCTCAACAATGTCAAATACGCTAGGTCTCAAGTCTGGATTGTATTCGAAGCATTGCTTGATGATCTCAGCAAGCCTACCTTCTTCCTTACTACGGGCCCAGAATCGGGGATCGATGCACCAATGGCTACAGTATCCAAGAACAGGAGGGTAAACACAAATATTGAGCCATCTATATAGTGACCTGAAAAATCGATGATTTGATTCACGTACCTGCATTTCCTTCGAATGCAACCAAGGAAACGGATCCAAACCCGTGAGCAAAGTGTACATGTTATTTCCCAGCGACCAGACATCTATTTTCTCATTCAATCCTTCGTTTTTATACTCTTCTGGAGCCCGCCACTACAAGATGATAGCATAGAACCAGTGAGGAAATGGTTGCTTCAAATCATGTCAAATGCTGTATCTCCTACTTACATTTCCATTCCCTCCACCATTGTGATACTTGCAGTATGTCTCTTTGGATTCGTCATATAGCATGTATTCTGCCCGATTGAAGTCATTGATCTTTAGCATCGTCTTATCCTTGTTGAGTAGGAACTGTGATAACTGAATGTCGTCGTGAACAATGACACCACCGGCGTTACCATGCAGCAGGGCTATTCCCTCAGCCATTTCCAGTGCCAGCACCACCTTTTCTCTGCCGGTGAGATTGGTTTGTACTTCAAATTCTTCAATCTCCCGTAGATCTTCACTAACTTCTCCTTCATCCTCGTATGCAACCTCTTCAATGTCGCCATGGAAGAAGTACTCGGAAAGGATACCGACACCACAAAAGCCATAGATATCAAAAGTGCGCGGACTTGCCGATAGTCGCTCGGCAACAGCTGCATCCATTCGTATGAACTCACTGTTCTCGTCATTGATATCTTCACTGCGGATGGTATAATCATGGTCATATTCATTAGCGCTGAATCGATCAGTGGAGGTCTGACCATCTAGTACCTTGCAATTGAAACTTACTCGAATCTGAGCTCTTTGAGTACAAACTGTTCGTTGGGTTCTCTGAACGGATGCGACAAGCCAAAGACTTCACGAAAGGCACCCTCTCTGGGGACCAAAATTCAAGTCAGTATGCTCCAGTTCTAGCAGTAGTGCAAAAGTTCATCAACGTACCCTAAAAACTTGATGCCTCCTTCCAAGAGATGTTGTTCATGAAAGTTGTTGCAGTTTTGAAAATCATTTCGATGCTCGGATATCCTTCGGCAGGGCTCCTCTGTCTCTGTTTGCCCACCTTTGATTGCATCATCATCAAAGGCATAGTACCTTCGTTGCTCATTGCAGGAGTGATGGAAGATATCGGAAGCGTTAGTTGATATTTGAAGAAAAGGTTAGCGTTCGGAAGATGAGACAACTTACGCAGACACGTGATCGTCGTCGACATCTGATGACTGGGTCTCTCTACTATCCTTCACGTGGTCCATATTATCTCTTTGCCGATCATGCGTTTCATCATCTTGCAACAAATCGATGATGTTCGAATTTTCATAGTCACTTGCTGGTGCCTCGTCATCTTGCAGATACAACAATTGTGGCGGATATACTAATGGTGATGTATTTGAATCGAAAGGATGTTTAAATATGATGGTTGTTGGTTTGGAAATGTGTCTGATCATCATCATGCTTGGTATTCGAAGATTCATCATTTCATTGGTTCGCCGGTTCGTCGCCAAGCTTTCTACTTTCAAGTACATGACGAGCACAAGAGCAAGGTATGTCACAATCGTTATTGGAATGATCGAACAAGCTATCGGATTGAAATGGAGCTTGGGCTGCCGTTTAGGTGATAGCGATGTTGAAAGATGGGGACTTCTTCCAGCAACAGGAATGTACCCAGCACGCTTGCGTAGCCGTATTATTCTTCCATTCCGATCACATGGGGAGAAAAGAGAGACTGACGTCGTGATGTGTCTATTGCTTTCTGTGACGCTAATCTTAGACCTTCGGCAACAGCAGGAAATCCTGCAGCTGTTTCGCTATCAATGTTCTTGTTCTTGTTGTCACGTTGGAAATCAAGCGAGAAAGGTGCGACATCTTGAAAATCCGATGAAAAATTGTGGGGTCAATATGTATGCACGCGTATATTTATCCTTCGAATTATTTTATGATTTGAAGAAACTCCTAGGACTATGTTGAGCGCGTGCCATCTATATATTGTACCGTACCTGCGTACAGTACCGGTACCCTAACCCTATATATATACCGTTATAATAATATATGTTATAATATATTGAATAAACATGAATCTTGCGATGCTGTACGGATAGACAGACTATTATTGTGCTTCATAGGTACACTACCAGTAAAGCACTAGTTAGTCTAGTAGGTGTAGAATACCAGCGATGGGATATCTGAGTCTGTGTATCATGCATTTGTTTGCTAATAGTAATAATCATAATATGTATCTTGAATGCGAAAGATGCACTCTTTGCTCGACCATTTCTCGACCATCGAACAACCTGGCCGCTGCCAACAATCGAAATCATCCCCACAGTCCAACAGTCCAACAGTCCAACACTCCATCCCTATCATCATCATCGTCATTCCTCTCGAGGCATTCTTATCCCACTGGGGAATCTTTTTCAACCAAGTTCTGACTAAAGGTGTATACGTAGCGCGTGTATCCATATTCCCAGATTGGATCCAAATTGACATTCCAATCGTACATGTTGCAAGTCGCATTCTGTTCGTGACAACAAGTGCTGCAACAGCTGCATTCAATTTCGGCAGCTTCAAAGACTCCAGGATCGTTGGTGGGGACCGCCTCGCAATCCGTCACATATAATCTCAAGTCAGGAATGCTACAAACGACGTCGGCGGATCCAGTCAGAGCATTGTGATCGAGCAATAGCAAGTCTGGACAATGAAACAATTGGTGGAACAAGTAAAGCAAGGGTATATTGTGCGTTAGCAAACAAAGAAAATCATGACAACAGTATCAGCGTCACCACTACTCCATAGAAAGAATGTCACTTACTCAAATCTGTCAACAGTGCAAAGGAATCGGGAATGGTTCCATTCAAAGCGTTCCGATTCAACATTAGATGATCCAATGATTTTAGAGCCACGCCAAATTCATTTGGAATCGTTCCTTGCAAATCGTTTTGATCCAAATCCAACAATTGCAGTTGAGTAAAGTTAGCAATCCAAGTCGGTAGTTCGCCTTGCAAATTGGCCTTCTTGATGGACAATTCCCGAAGGAGTGTCAATTGTGCCAATTCCGTAGGCAATACTTGTGCATCGTAGCTATTGGATCCCAAAAAGAGGTACCTTAAGAAACTCAAGTTGCCCATTTCTGGAGGAATCTTGCCCGAAAGTTGATTCCGTGAGACATCCAAATGTTGCAAATCAATCATATTCGACATGCCCGCAGGAATGGGACCATTCAATTTATTGTCTTGAAGGGCCATGAATACAATGCGGTTGTTATCTCCGATGGTACTTGGCAAGGGTCCCGTAATATCATTGCCGTGCAAATCCAAAATCTCCAAATTGGTCATTTTGGTAAAGAGATCCGAGGGGAGATTGCCCGAAATGTCATTTCTGGAAAAGTCCATTTCCTTGAGGGCCGTCCAATTCGTCAATATTTGATTTGTGAGTTGTCCGTCAATGAGGTTGTCTTCCATGTACAAGTATTGGATCTTGATCAGGGGTCCAAAGTCGGCAATGTTACCCGTGAGGCCATTGTCGTCCAGGGCGAGAATTTGCAAATTGGTCTGGTGCAAAATGCTGGCGGGAATGGATCCCGTGAGCAGGTTGTTAGACAATCCCAATCGACGAAGGGGCAAGTCGGTGCCCAACCATTCCGGTAGTGTACCATTAATGGCACAATATTGCAATTCCAAACTCCACAGTTTGGTCAATTGCGCCATGGCGATGGGAATTTCACCTTCGAGGCCGGGATTGAATTCCACGTGCATTTGTTCGAGGGAATTGGAAAGGTATTGCAATTCGGATGGAATGGTGCCTTGGAGCAAGTTGGAAGCTGCATATGGATGATGATTGGATGAATGATTGGATGACAAGATGGATGTATTGAATGAAGGGAAAGAAAAAAGAAGAACAAGATTAGACCTTTTGCATCCAATATCATCGATTCAATCCATATTCAATATTCAATATTCGATATGTATACGGTAGTGTACTCACGCATATCCAGCAATCCAATGACTGGTGTTGAAGAACCTTCAGGAGTATCACAAATAACTCCTTCCTTGGTAATTTGACCACTGCGTTGATTTCGGAACCAAGCGAACCATCCACAGGTATCTTCATTGGTTAAAAAGCGCATGGGGTACCTCCATTTGGTTCCATTGGTAGAATAATACCAAACCGTCATGACGTATCGCTCAATGAGCTTTTCTTCGCTGAGTGCCGCATTGTCAAACTTTTCGGAAGCCAAGAATTCCACCGCCTTGGCTTGCGGACTTTGTGCATCGTCCAACTGACTGCCCTTGGCAATCTGTTTCGCCATGAGGAATTCGACAATCTGTTCTTTGCGCTCTTCGTAATGATCTTTTCGGGTCAACAAGACGGGTGGAATAATGACAATGCAGAGAAACAACAAGGTCATGATGCAATATCCCCACCGGCGACCGCTGCAGAAACCAGAACCCTTTTGTGTTTGACGTTGGGCATGAATTTCATCCACCGTTGGCAATTGATCGTGAATGACTTGATCGTCACTGCCGTCATCGTTGTAGTAATCATCGTCGTCATCATCCTCAATGTCATCAGGTGGTTGTAAAATGAAATCCTCATTGTCGTCGACATTGTGAATGAAATCCTCCTCGTCGCTGTCCGGCTGAATGGATTCCATGATTCGCTTTGGGTCAATCTTGCCATTTCCTGGACCCACCGATGCCTTGTATTCTTCTACCGAAGGCAATTGATCGTGAACATCATCATCGTCATCGTCATCATCACGGTTGTAATGATTCTCTTCGTCGTGGTTGTTCATGGTTGATGATTTGTGTGCGCTTGCTTGATGCTTGCCTGATTGCCTGATTGCTTGATTGCTTGATGATGAGATATTCAATTCAGGAGATGATGAATTCAGGTAAATTCAGATGAATTCAGGTAAATTCAGGTGATGATCTTCTTCTTTCAGCAGAGGACTTGTCTGTTCTGTACCTACAATAAATGATACTAATACAGTAACTTTACAGTTCACTGCGATGAGAGGGAAAGCGAAGGTCTCTTGTGAAGCGTAATGGGAGAAAACGGAAGTAACTGCAATGGCAATCGTGTCAACGGAATACGCAACTTCCTGTGCTGTGAGTATAAAATGCTGACTAAGATGATGCAGGATCGGTGCGTCTCGTCAATATAAAAAGAACCAGGACCACGAGAGTTTCCCGCGCGCGCTCTCAAGAATTCGGAGGAGAGGGATATTCTGGAATTTGGAGAAGACGGTATTTACCGCGAAAATTTGTGTTGACTGTAATTCCATCCACGAACCAGGGAGCGAAACAAAACCCTTGGACGCGCTTTGCTCGGGAATCTCGCAAAAAGCTGACGTAGGCCATATTGCCAAACTTAAAATACGTTGGTCATTCTAATCGTACGTGTACACGTACCATAGGTATTGGTACGTGTATCAATCAATCATCATTTCATTCCATTCTCATTCATCCTCTCGCCCAACAACATTGACATTCTAGCATCACGCAGTGTAGTATATGCATATATTTACTAAGAGATCATGATGGAGAGACACACGAGAAGAGTATACGAGTATATAGACAGACAGAAGGATATGCACCGATGTATACCGGTACACGTGTACCAGGTACAGTACCTGGAACTGCACATCAGGCAGGGAGGAAATAACTTCACACTGGATTTCTGAGCTTTCCTACTATCGGTAGAATTAAGAGAGGATCACGCAGAATTTCAAATGAGCATGGCGCTGATCTGATCGGCGAACTATATTCTCAGACGACGCTTGACATTGGCCATCGCTTGTTGTGTCAACAATAGAAGTCATTATGCATCAAGTGAAATATAAGGAGGATATATTCAATATACTGTAGGTATTATTAATAATATATCACGCGACAATTCACCAGCGTTCTCGGTTTGTACTTTGCGGAACCTCTTTTTTCAGACGACAATCTTCTTTCGCCACCTTTAATTATCTTCTCAAATCATGAAATGACAAGCGCTGAACCAAAATGAGAATGTCTGTCTATTACAATCAAACTATGTATGGCTATGTGGTTCGATGTATAACACAATGTATATAATATATTTATATATTTAATATTTATACATGCAATCATGCCTTCAGTCCACAAGAAACCCAATATCCAAGCTTCGGACCAGGAGTCACAATGGTTGTCGCTATTGATCCATCATGGTCGAACACTTCGTCAAGATTCTGTGCCTGAAGCAATCCAAGTCCATATGCTCCTTCTCGGTCGCAACCCCGATAACAAGCGTTTCCTCTTTGCTGCGGTGTCAGCACACAAGCCAAGCTGCCATCTCTTGCCATGACTTCTTCAAAATCGATTCCACCATTTTTGGCAGTGGTAAATCGTGACCTGACTACCAAAGGCAACAAAATCATGGTTCCAACCAGTGCTGACGATGCGATCAAGTATGGTTTGAAGGCAAACGACCAACTGGGTACATCCGAGACGGCCTTGACTCCACCAAGAGCGACGATGCAAATCATCCGGGCGTAATTCGTCTTTTCCAGACCAACCTGATCATGATGACCTGCATTATTATGTCCACCCGCCACAAGGACTTTCATCGCTCCAAAGGGCATACCAACAACTTCGGCCGTATTATTATTATTATTGTTGTTGTTGATCAGATCGACGAAAATCAGCGCCAGGATCAAGTGGAAGGCACCAGTGTCCAAGACCCATGCGCCATAGGTCGCTAGCACCATACAAACAAGGAGAGCAATGGCATGAATACAGTTGTAGTCTTGCATCCACTGGATATGCCCATTCTCTTCAAAATCAGAAACGGTAATGTTCTTGGTCCCATTCTCAGATACGTGAATCGCAACTCCAGGCAGCCGCCTATCGGCTGTCAACAATTCCATCCAATCGTTCTTGATCCTTTGAATTTCGAATTGGTCCAGGATGCGGAATCGACAAGACGGCGTTGGGCTAGTGGGAGTAAGTGTGTTTGTGGTTTGGGAAATGTAGGTCCCAAAGGAATTCTCGGATCGGGAATACCCGCCATATGTCTCATGAGAGAGGCAAATCAAGAATAGTTTGCCGAGGGCATAACCATATTGAGCTTCCAGTTTCAAAGTTCCATTATTGCCTTTACCTTTGCCTTTGCCATGAAGACTGCCGAGTCGGTGGGTGATTGGAACAATTGTCATTTGAAGATCGTCTGTGGGGTTGCTGTGGTGTGCTGGTGCTTCCTCGCAGTCGATATCATCATCCCCATCTGTGCTTGAGGCCGTTGGTGGTGAGGATGTCATGTCTTTGAATTTCAAGTCGGTATGATCAATGTAAATGCGTTCGGACCGAGCCATGAAACATGCTCCACGCAAAGCTGCAAGCTTGCGCAGAGTGTATGGCTGTGCCGCAGTAGCTTTTTGGACGATTTCGTCAAACTTGGCCAGTCCATAACAAGCTCGGACACATCGAGCAAGGTAGATTTCGCCATGGTTGACAGAAATGGAATGGGAAAGCAAAACAAGCATGCATGCAAAGAACTTCCACCCTTCACCAATATCATCAAGGTGTGGTTCCAATCGGAGGGTTGTATGATCCGGTCCATCGAATTTCTTTCCAACGGGACTTGGACTAGGGTCCAGGTTGATAAGAGACATCGTCCTTTTCGTAATGTCACCATTGTGCTCATGGTACTTGGGCGAGATTTGGGCGAGATTATTATCCCAAATCTCCTTATTCTGCTCCAAAAATGCAGCGCAGGGTTTGTCTTCAAAGAACAACACATAGTCTTCGTCGATTATATCTTTCTCGGGATCCATAATAGGACTACATCTACCAATCTTGGTCTTTTTGGAATTTTTCTTCTTGCATTTGGATTCAGTTTGGAAATCCTTGTTGACTGGTAAGAAGACTTTTAGGTAGGTAGGAATGTCGCCCACTTCCGGAAGTCCTTGCAAAGGCTCATTGCCATAGTGTTGCAAAAAGTAAATGAGATATCTAGCATCAAGAGCACATTCCATATTCAAACCTCTTGGCAATTGATCTGAAATAATATCATCAAAGCGTGTGATGAGATCAATCGTCGCATCTTCATCCAACGTCTTGGCTTCGTCATCCGCCACCCGAAAGTAGCACGACCGATACGCAATCACAGGCCCGTTTTCATCCGATGGAATCACGAGATGAATAAAGCTTTGGGCAAAGGCTCCGTGACAAGACATTTTTGCAATGGCTCCACGCTTGTGAGGCCGGATATACTCGGTAAAGTATGCATTCGAGAGCTCGTTCAACTCAATGTAGAATCGCTGAGTGTACCGAAACGCAGCGATGGCATCCGAAACGTGATGGGTCCCAGGTGTGTCTGATCTCTTGGAAAAGGAACTGTTGACTTGGAAACGTTCCGTCATCCAGTCAATCAAGCCCTGTTGCTCTGGACTTCGCGCCCTTGCACTTTCGTCCTCACCGGAACCTTCGGAAAAGGACTCATCATCGGTAATTTCATCCACAACATTCTCTCGAAAACTAGTACTGGCACTGAGAGAACCTGTCATCTCGACTTTGATGCTGCCTGGCTTGACTTTTTTGTCACCAATAACGGTCATGATGGTAGTAAAGAGAGACGACGGTACCGAGGTCCGGAGTGTACAAAAATGACAACTCTCTTCTACGAGATGTCGATCTGAAAAGTGACATAAAATCGTAGAAATCCAAAATTGACAAGGAAGCGAATGATACATTTACTTATTGTTCGAAATGTCTTTTTTTGGCTTACGTCAATCTTCTTTGGGCCCAAGGGAAAAAAGTGTCAACACCTGCGAACTGTAGTCGAGGGGGTCGATTCCTAGTTTTAAAATCAGTCAGCGACACGTGCACGATTCAAGCTACTTATTGCACGCCGGACAAGATTCCCGCCTACCCGCAATAAATATACTTTCTCATTGCACGCATGAGGTCTGAAATCTTTTTTTATGATATGGCCTTATTGCATAAACATCACCATGACAATCCTGCAAATGCTGTCTTGTGGTTTGGTTTCAATAGTCCTACTTACATCCCCTTTTCCCACCCTCGGTCAAGCTGAAGACAAGGTTTGTGACGCTTCAACTGGCAACCAGAATTGTCCCAATGAACTTGATGGCTTCGGAATACAGGACAACAATGACGACAAGGCGTATGATTTGGTTCAATCCATGATGAAATCTCTGCAAGAACATGATGACGGCTTCTTCAACCAGGATAAGCTTGAAATCCGTCGTCGGATACCAAATGATGCTTCTTCACCGTTGGGTATCTTTGCTACGGACGACATCTCATCAGATGAATTGTTGCTAAAGTTTCCTGCGGAATCTCTGATACGCATTGAACCCTCTGGGTCGTACGACGAGGACACTTGTCGATTGAAAGATGCACTAATGGAAGAAATGAAAAAGGGCGAAGAATCTGAATTCAAAGATTACATTGACCTTCTGCTGCTTCAGACACCCACAATTCCAGCAGCTTGGTCCGATCAGGGTCAAGTATTGTTGCATCACATGCTTACGGATACCGGTATGAGCGACGGAATGGAGAGACTACTGCCTCCAAGCGATCCGACATCGCTCTATGACATTACTTGCTACGACGACGAGGATGAAGTGGAAGAGAAACTTTTACATTTCGCCGTCATCAACGGATATGACATTCTAATGGCACCTGTGTACGACGTCATCAATCATTCCAATCACCCCGACAAGATCAGCGTCAAGAATACTAGCGTGCAAAGAAAGCACGGATTCGAAGTCTCAGCATCTAGAGGCATCAAACAAGGTGAAGAACTTTTACATTCCTACAACCGATGTCTAGATTGTGACGGGGATTCAGATATCTTTGGAACTCCCGAAATCTTTCGAAACCATGGATTCGTGGAAGATTATCCTCAACGATATGAACTCTTTGGGGGCCACTTTGACGAAGAAGACGCTGGCTTTGACATTGTCGAAAGAAATGGCACTCTTTCTGTGGAGTGGTTGAAGAAACCATTCTTTAATGGAGGCAGAATACCAATTATGAGACGACAGCTAAAACGGTTGGATCAATTCCAATTCGAGGAACTAATGCCTGCCAAAACGACGCTTCACGAGACGGAGTGGAATTTACTTCATCAATACTACGAAGCTTTGACCGTGGCATTGTCGCTGGCTCTGTCGGATGCCGACGCTGATGAATTTGACGAAACGTTTGATTATAACTTTGATCCCAAGGTTGAATATTGTCTACCTGAAGACACGCATGTCATTAACAAACTTGACAAGTATCGGGATGTAATTTATCAATCGGAGACTCTCATCTGGGCATCAAAACACTTTCACCCCATTGATTCATTGCAATCCGAATATCAAACGATTGAATACTACAAAGAACCAAAGACAAAGGATGTGTGTTTTTACATTGATGATATCTTTCAAATGTGTGGGGTAAGTGGTTGTTTCAATTGAGCTCTCAATAGACTGAACCTTTGGAGTTTTTTTCTGGATTGGAATGCTAACATGCACCACCTATTACTTTACTTTGACAGTCATACTGGCCGTATTATCATGAGATGCAAGTTCACAAAGCGGCAAAATATCTAAAGGATGATATTAAACGAGTTCTCTTTGTCGGTGCAGGTGACAATGGACTTTTGAATGAAATCGTCAAATATCCATCCTTGGAGCTGGTGGTCGGTTTGGAATTGGACCAGCATGTCTCGAGACTGGCATTTAAGCATTTTGCAGCAAAGCCACACTTTGACAATCCCAAGGTACAATGGTGGTTTGGAGATGCATCCAAGACGCTATTCATGCTACCGAAAGAGTATTTTGGGTCATTCGATATGGTCCTGGTGGACTTGTCGGATACTGTCTTGTCACTCACTGTTTCTGGTGAACTTGATGTGGTTGGGGCACTCTCATTGCTCCTTCGACCAGGTGGGGTCTTCTCCATGAACGAATTGTAAGTAAGGTGACTGACTGACACTCGCTCACTTGTTTCGTGTACTGGGATCCGACCAGGCAATGACTCACGCAACTGATAAACTTCGCATTTTGTAGGTTCTTTCGACGCGTTAGCGATGTATTCAAGCACACTGTCTACTATCAGTTTACGGGTGTTCCAAAGGTCCTTGACCAAGGTTTCATTTTTGCTAGTAATGATATTGACTTGCTGCACCAAGACTTGACGGATCACGAAATTAAGAACATCCATGTAGAAGACTCGATTCTGAAGACGGACCATCGATTCAGACACGTGCATGACTACCGACGCAACCCCCACAGCTCATCGCAACAGATCTGCCAAGACTCGAGTGAACAGAAAGCAGAGCTAACATGGCAAGAGACAAGTTTTGGAATTTTTATGGCGATCGAGGCAGAGGACCTTGAAAGCTCTGAACTGGGATCGCGAACCAAAGTACAAGCCAGAATCGAATCCGCATTGACGAATGCGGGGTTTCGTGTGATTGAATCCACCAATGATAGTTTGACAGACAATGTTTTTGTAGTGGTGATGGAAGAAGGATACGCGACGGTCCGACTGCACGAGGAAGAAAAGTATGTCGGTTTTGACACTGTCTTGTGGAGTTCCTTCAACAATCAGGAAACATTAAAAGAAGTACTTGTGGAATCAGTTGGTGGTTCGATTTCCGCAACTTCTTCCTTCCGAATTGTCACTGGTGGCATGTTTGGTACCAAAGCTTGGAAAGAAGACCGAAAGAGCCATGGGCCCGAGATCGTAAACGAATGCCCCAAAGCAGAAAAGAAGAAGTTTGTCAAACCAGAAAATGTCTTTCCGGTTGCACTTGAAGGAAGTATGGATCTTGTTCAAGACAAAGGCAAATTTGTGGTCGCAGTCCTTTGCCCCCCTGCAGGGGTACCATGCGAGAGCATCGATCTGTTGAAGAAGCATTCAAAGGTTGCTTCAGTTGCCAGTTTCAATGCTTGCGCCGAAACGGAATCCTTGAACGATGACAAACTCTGCAGCATTGAATCTGCTGCCAAGCAAATGGACACGATATCCTCATCCAAGATTCGAGCCATGGTGGTCGATGCGGCTTGCCCTCCATCCATGGAAGACTTGCCATTGGCGATGAAGCGAAAGGGTATCTTTGCTTCCGATGTCCTTGCCATGGCCACCATCAGCTCACGTCACGAGCTCTGGAGACGGCAATTGGTTGATAAGATACGTCGCAAAGTCGTGCCAGTAGACCCAGTCTTTCGAGCTCATGTCGTTTTCAACTCAACGTCAGATGAACTCAGCAGCAGCACGGAGCTTGCAATCACATCTTCTGGGGATGAACTCTTCATGGAGCACTTGAGGGAATCGGTTGCCAAGATGCAAAAAACGAGTGGTTTAGATCTGCATGTTAGCAACATTTTGGGAGGGCTTTGGAGAGAAGAAACCCGCTGGGTTTTCCCTGACGAAGAGGCTTCGAAACTGTTCTATCCAGAAGATTATGATCACTCAAGCTCGTTGGATCAATATATGAGTCAACGTCCACTGGGAATTCAAGCCGTTGTCCAACTTCATAATTTAGCGCCGCTCGAGATGAATGAAGAAATCGAATATACTCTTTATTTGGAAAATGACGAAACCTTCAAATCCAACGTCAAGACAGTCAATGGTAACGGCGTTTATACCGTCTTTGACTTCTTTGGAGACGACTTGAATCTACCAAGGTACAGATTAAAGAGCCTCAGCGGAGATGGCGTCGCCAACTTGACTGCATCAGATATGAAAGAGGCCTTTGATGTCGTTTTTGTCAGCGAGAATGATAAGAATCCCATGTACACAAATACTTTTGAAGGAATCGGAGAAGGCACTGTATTCGTTGCGATTTGGGAAGACGGTCAAGCCATTATGGTTTGGGACGGGCGCCATACTGTGGATCTGAATGTGTACTGTGAGGATTTGGGAACCTTCCAAATGATACAGAATCGCATTCAAGGAAGGCTACTAACGTTGAAGATACATTTGTTGGACATACACCCTAGAGGATATGGTCATGTCGTCAATTTCGCAACTGACAAGGAACAACATCCAACCCCACATTGGTTTGATGACGTTGAAAACGCCAAATAATTCCTTGCAAAGCTACTTGCAGAAGTGTACAGTACCGGTATGTTGAAGAAGTATACGGTTTGCCAGAAGATACGCCGCATTTTGCATGGAGTCGCTCACAAGCGAACATCCATAGAAACGTAACAACACCTTGGATCTTGACTTTTAAGGTTGCTCTTGCCGCAATTCATTTGGAGGAGACTGGTGGAAGCCAAGAAATAAAATATTTGATTTTACTACGAATTGTGGCTGCTCCTACAATTTGAATTCTGTGTGTGGTGTTGGTTGTAATTGTCCCATACCGTACATAAAACACTTTCGCACATAATCACTTTCGCACATGACATATATGCGTATGGGGTAGGGGCTTCAAAGTGGGGGAATTTGCAGACATGATAACGTGCCGTAAAGCAAGGATCTAGAAAAGAGACAAACAAGATGATGGACTCCAAATAAAAATGAAACATTTTAAAAAATAAAATAAAAACGATGAAAAACAGTTGTGGAAAATTACACGATGAAAAAGTCGAAAGTGAAAACAAATCACAGCCACTCCACTCCGACTGCGGTATCGTGTAATCGTACATATTAATACAAATACTCGTACTCCTGTTAACCATTAGCGACCCGACCGACCTCTCAATGACCCACCGCACGATAATGAAGATGCAGTCGACATCTTTCGTCATATATATGATCGACAATGGTCCAACCTTCCAACACTTTACAATCAGCGTCCCGAATCCATCATGACATTGAAACAAAAATCCATCCCCTACAAAACACCGCGTCAACCGAGACCGCACCAAACGAGGATTCATTCGAAGGAGTCAATCGTGTTAAAAACACGGCAAATTGGCGATCTCCCACCTGCCGTATGGTTTTCACTCCACACCTCAACGCAACACCTCACAATTTCAATTATGAACCTCTTTGAATCAACTAGTACAACAATGTCAACAACAACAAGAGCAATCATGACCAACTACATCTCTACCTTTCTCAATCAAGAAAGCTTGAAAAGCATCAGCTTTCCCAAATTACCTCGAATGAGTGCCATCACTCAACAACAACAAGTTCAAGAAACCATCATTACTGGTTTGGTTTGTGCAGTCGCAATTGTGTTACTTCGGTACATGGTACTGGACACTTACCAAACCTATCAGAGACTTTGCAGGCAATGGAACAGACGACAGCCTCCTGTTTCCATCCTTCATCATCCAGAAGGGTCTCGAAAGGAAACCGGAGTTGGTTGGGTGTGTTCACCAGAAAAGCAAACTGTGTCCGTTTTGCCAATATCTTCCGTTGAACCTTTGTCCCAAACAAGCAAGAGCTACAATCTTGCAAGGAATGCTGGGGTCTGATTCAATGGCGCATTCAACTTCACGACAAAGTCATTCCTGAGATAGAGAACACAGTGAGATTTGTTCCACACACTCCTGTGTCCATTCTTCATCCTTCAAGAAAAGATTGGGGATCACCCAAACCAGCCTCTTCAAACCGAGTCCAATTTGCCCCTCAGACTTGAAGGAGAAACTTCATTCCCGACAAGCAAGATCTTCAGTCCCGAAGGCAGCTAATTCATCAAATTGACCGCAAGATCAAGAGGCGGAATGCCCAATGCTGGAAGATCAATTTCAAACCTACTGTGCTTGCCACCATTATCAAAGATCCAGCAGAAGAAGATTTGAGTGACATTGACTCGTCTTTGGATACTGGATTTATTGATGGCAAAGTCGACTCTGAAACTATTGCAATTGTGCTCAAGAACCACTGACAACTCTCCAATTTTCCGGTACCAATGGATTTGGATGACGCCGACAATGAGCCCTGCATGGAAGAACAAGCACCATTGTCACTCAAGCAAACCACAACTTCCTGCCTTATTTCATCCAGATCCACTAAGCCTCGCAAAATAAATTCATCTACGGTTCAAACTTGCGCTGTACCATGGGCCAAACAAACCAACGAACGCTTCACTCTTTTGCTACTTGTCATTATCAAAGATCCAGAAGAAGACAGCAACAAGAGCCACATTGACTCGTCGTTGGATGCTGGATTAAACAATGACATTGCCAATGAGCGATCAACTCGTCTTGCCAAAGCTGACGCCATTTGGGTCAAGAAGGCCAAGGAGATCTTGGCCAAGAAGTTGAATTCCAACAAGATGATCAAGGCCGAGAGGTTCAGGTGGGGGAAAAATGCAAGGGCCAGAAGAAGCAAGGGCCAGAAGAAAGAAATGTCTGAAAAGGAGATCGATTTTGAACCAACCTTTCTTTATTGAAGATCCAAAGGAGGAGGAGGAAGAAGAAGTCAACACCATGAACGAGAAGAAGGAATTTTATTGTCACATTTCCGAGGGATCCTTTGGAAGGCTAGTGTTTGCCTTTGTGGTTTCTAGTGGATTGGTCACTCACTAGGTTGCATCGGCGACAATTTCATGGCTTGCTGAGATTGGGTGTTTCCCTCCAGTCTTGTTTGGCCACCTACTAGTGTAAAACGAATTGTTTGGGTGGAACGACGGGGGTATGGGATGGGTAGGCCAAAGGCTCCTAAGCGCGTCCTGATCAGCAAGAGGAACTCCCCCAAAAAGTGTCATGATCTCATCGTCCCCCAAGACCAGTTTTTTTTCACACTCGCTCAATAATACGTGCACAAATACATACAGTATCCCATAAATTCCAAAATGGCGGAATCAAAACGAGTCCTATACCATCTGAGCTTTACTTTCAAATGACGCCGCGTTTCTGGTACGAGTGTGAATGTGGGATTCAAACCATGATTGTCATTTGCACCTGAGTGAGATCAAGTGGAGGCAAGAAAGCAACAACACGAGGACAATCTCTCTGATCACCATTGATTAGTTACACGCTTTAGATTGTGACAAGTATAACTGAAGTTATCGTGATTGTTCTTTTGAGGACATGCACAGATTGATATAAAAGGATGAACAACAAAGAAGAAACAACGGCGGACTGTAATATTAATACCGCCAACCTCTCTACCTTTGAGGGAAATGGAAAAGATGACCTCAATAGGTACAAGAGAAGGGGCGCGTTGGCTGCAGCACTTCTCGTTCTGGGCATCACCGTGGTCGTGCTACTAGTTCTCCACAGAGAAGATGATAGTAACCGGACGACAGGCTCATTCACCATTGGTAATGATGATGCCGATAATCTACGTAAGAAGGCTTACGAAGGGATGCAGGGCGCGGCCCATCAGCTATGGAACACAAGTCATGACGACGACGTGGGCCCAAATAACCGAGACTGGAAAGAGGAGGTAGACAAATCTCTCAAAGAGCGAGGATTGTACCTAAACTCGAGAAATGCAACCTATTTGCTAAATGCGCGCGGAAAAACCTTGACGATAGGTGATGATGTTGAAATTAGAGAGTTTGACGAGAATGAAGAACGTGATTGCAGTGAACTGCCCTTGCAAGGTGTGCTACAGGCAATGCGTAAAGTAGGAGTGCTGCAATACAAAAGTCCCGATACTGTGGCCGAATGGGCTGCATGGCAAGGGTGTTTGATACGCAGTCACGCGGGTACAATTATGGTAGCGGGGTAATACGGATGACAATAAGGAACACCGCCGTAACCTAATAGGGACCCCAGGAGCAGGTATACAATTGAAGAATCAGATATTAATGTCAACTGTCTCGAGCACCAATCAGGAGTTCTTTCCTATACTGGCAAACATTTATCCATGGGCCTCTACAGACGGGACTGGACCCCAATTCAGTTCCATCGACCAAACCATGGGGTTCAATGAGATGGTTGCGGCAGCTATGGACACTGCGTCATTCGGATCAGGTGGTTTTGAGATTCATCACCTTCTCAAAGCACGGCAACCTACCACCGCGGTGAGACTCGAACTTGGGCGCGTAGATGGATTTAGGAGTGTCCAATTGGCCTGGCTTCGTGAAGGGTGCAACAATGGTGGTGACTTTGACCTTACAGATGCCTACGACCACGAAGTGGTGTGTCTTCCGCAATACAGTAGTATATTCGTGGCTGCTGCAGAGGTAGGAGGAGGAGAAGCTTGTCTTGAACTATCAACAACAGCATCAGCAGAATCTCTAAACACGGCAGTAGAAACCGGGAGATACCAGAATAGTTGCAGTATACCACCAATCAATGCAATGGTAGAACTTCCAAGCGGAGTGACACTGTGGGAAGTGCAGGTTGGTAGGACAGAACGAAACGGAATATTCAATGGGCTTTCGCTAAAGGAGAATTATTTCGCCAGGGTGTGGCTAACAGTGAAACCGAGCGACTGTTAGCCTGGCGGGGTTGAGCAGTAGTGTACTGGCCTGGTTAATCAATATTGTTTATCACCCGTACGAGTACACCGAATGGGAGTCTGCAGCAGGGACCGTCGCAGGACGTAAAACTAGTAACGTCAATTTCATAAAAATACATAAGCCTGCATATAAGTCTATTGATTGAATGCGGATGCGCCGACCATGAATCTCGTTGTTGTGCTAGAAGACACATCTCAGGATGACAAGTCTTGATTGAGCAATGATGCTCTCCCAAACATGTTCTCCATATTCGTGACTAAAGAAACATCCCAGTTGGTAATATCTGAACGTACTGTACAAAGACTAATCAGGTTTGGCAAATGATTACATAGTGGCTACTTTCTAGGCAAGACAAGTAGTATTTCAATTACTTCAATGAGTGCAGCTCTATGAGCTCCACTCAATGGTGCTGTAGCTAGCAAAAAGCACCTTGATGTCGAGCTACAATGGATTCATTGGCCGCTTGCTGAAAAGAGTTTTGTTCGTGCCTCTGCTGCGCCTTTTTATCTTTGCGCTTGTAATATCGATTGGTGGCCATTCCAACACCAGCGCCAACCACAATTCCCGCTGGTCCAAGCGTCAGACCTCCGACTACCATTCCACCTGCTGTAGCAACCACTCTAGCTTGTTTTCGGACCTGCTTGTACCTCGCACGTTTGGGATGAACATCGGGGGCAATGGCAAGGTTATTGATTGACGAAGTCAGCTGGGAGAAAGGCACCATGTCTACGCTTGTGCTCGAGACACTGGATTCTGCAGCAGATAGACTGGATTTGGTAGATTTCGTTCCCAGTGTATGAATGTCCGTCTTGTGGTGTTGCATTTGATTCAGAGCTGACTGTGATGCAATGATCAATTCGTTATTTTGTGACGTTGGCATAACTGGATAAGACTGTAAATAGACGGGAGCCTCCATTGGTGCTTCGTTTTCGTTGCCTTCCATTTGGACTATGTAAGGATGATCCATAGGAGGTATTGCAGAAGTAACTGGCGGTTGCTGATATCCATTTCCATTAGGAGCTACAAGACCATCAGGAAACTCAAAATGGACCCTATGCTGTCCATCGGAAGGTGTGATCGGTTGTTGAGCAGTAACGGTAGGTGACAACATTTCTGATGATCCTCCCATGTATGTTCCAGGAGAAGCAAGCGAGTTGTGGGTTGCAACTTGGAGATGTAAGTCTGTTCGAATCTGCATTGTCGTTTGTGTGAATCTTTGATTATAGGGGCTGGGCTATTCTAAAGCTATAATTGTGTGTTTTATGCTGCTGAGAAAACACCTTCTAAAGTCTGATGTTGACTGAAAGATGAAATTCAAAGCAGATGTGATGGCGATCGAAGCACGCGTGATTTTGTGGAGGGGTCGACGTCGGCTTTGGCTTCGGTTCGAAAATGTGCCCTAATTAGGAATTTTTTTGCCGCCGTTGTTGCGAATTTATTGGATGGTATGCTTAGAAAATACGCAGTACTTGGGCAGGCCAGCTCCCTTGAATTTTCAAAAACTGGCGTCGATGTGACACCGGATGGATAACGTGGAAGTCATGATCGCTGATTTCAAGTCATGAAAGGAACCACTTGGATCTTCCACATGGAAAGTGTAACAGGTAACGACGCTACCAACATGTTTCGCACATGTTTCTTCATCCGCAAGACTGAATCGAAACTAGGCCCACATTCTTGAAAATTTCGATATCTATTTGTACTACAAGTAAAGAATTATGCCCAATGGGGCTCTTCCATGTCGACCAAGTCCTCCGAAAAATTCACAACTTGACCATAGCCTCGTGGATGAAAGTCGCGTAGCTTGATTTCTAGATCTGGCAATGCCTTCTCCAGGTCAGCTTGCATAGCAGCAGTGACGGTGAGATCGGCGCAAAACATGTTCACGTCGACTTGGACCCGTCCATCCCAAATAACCAAGACCATGGCAGAATCCCAAATGGCAATGTGCACGGCGCCATCTCCAATGTTTTCGTAGGCCTCGACAAACGGATTTCCTTCTACGTGTTCTGTGAGCGCAAACTTGTCAAATCCCTTCTTGAGATCCTCCCCGACCACCAGTGTAGGTCTCTGTCGGATAGCATTGGTGTATTGGATGATGGATTGGGCGCCTACTGGCTTCTGGGTCTTGTATTGCTCCAACGAAGGCTTTAAGTCAAAGTCTTCAGGCTTGAAGAATTTGAGTCCGGCATCATCATCAATGATATAGGTAGGTTCGCTCTTCCACAATCCACCAAAAATGTTTCGAATTTCCGCAGTCAGTCCAGACTTCTTTTCGATGGAAGATACTGCCTTCTTCAAGTTGTCAATGAAGAGCTCATCACCAGACGAAGCGAAGGCCATCTCCAAACTACTTTCGGTTGTGTTGAAGAGAACATGGGCACGAAATACTGGATCCAATCGAGTGATGGTGGTACGAATACGATCTACAACGGATCGTTTCCACATGTCCAATTGGGAATCAACAGTGGCCAGGCCGTAAATGTCGTCTTCCAACTTGTCTTCTTCGTCCAACAAGTCAATGACAGTATCCATGGCGATGGTTGCGGATGGATCGACAACGAAAAACTTGATCTTCTCTTCGTCGTCACCAAATTCGGCATCTAGCTTCTCCTTGGCAGCAGTGTTGGCACATTCTTCGGCCTCATCGTCGGACAACGACGAATCGGAACAAGCATAAAAGGGAATGACAGAAGTAAGTTCCTTCTTTCCCTTGAGGATTTCAACGCTCTCACAAGCTTCGTCTTTCGTGCCGCAAAGAACGGCAACAGCAAACTTTGCATCCTTGTCCACAAGGTCCAGACTTTCATTCAAAATCACGTTCAAGAGGCTGTTTGGGCTTGCTGCTGCTCGGACTGGTTCAGTATCCTTGGCACAGAACTTGTCAATTTGGGGTCCATGACTCTTGGAATCCTCCTTCCAAGTACTGACACCATACATACCGCCAGTGACAATGCGGAAGGACGAGGTCTTGTCACGGCTGCCTCCCACTGCTTGAATAAGAGCCAACTTGACAGCTTCAAAACTTTCAAAGGAACTCCACAATAGAATATCAAACCCGCAGTACTTGTTTTCAGCATCCACTCGAGCCACAATGTATCCTTCTTTCAAAATCGTTACAAACTGAGTGTCCGTCTTCTTTCCTGCCGTGGTAGAAACGACGTGCATACCCTCCTTCTCCAATGCCTTCTCGATTGCACTCTTGACCTTGGAAATCTTCTTGAGGGGCTTGCTGTTCAATTCTTCCACCTCCAAGACCATAAAGATTCCAGGGCTGGCATCTTGGAGATTATCCTTTTCGGGAATGGTGTCGGGATCCTTGCACAGCTTGTCAAAGGTACTACTGGGATTGCGTCTATAATCGTGAACAAAGGAGAATTGATGGTCTGTCTTGAGGAGAGTATCTTCCACCAATACGTCATTCACCTTGTGATGGGTCAAATCCCGATTCAACAAGTCAACATCGTTACTGGCAATGACAAAGCCTTGATCGCCAAGTTTGGGAATGTTGTACACCTGATAATAGAGTGCGTATTCAAAGACGTCGCTGACCTTTTTGAAGAACCTGAACATGACAAGCAAATGGAGTCGTTGAGCAGAATTCTTGTGTGCTCTCGTTGCCACCAGTGTTTCGTTGCTGGCCCTATTGCTTTTTACTTACAATTCGTTCATGGCAAATACACCACCTGGTTTGACCAACAAGGATAGTGCCCCAACCACATCCAGTTCATCCGACACGGTCAAGGCAAAGATGGTATCGGACAAGTCGACCAATACCATATCAAAGGAACCAAAGTATTCTCGTGGAAGCATGTATAGCGTCTTGGAGGCATCTCCGTACCACCACTGGACCTTTTCGTTGTGGTAATGTGTTTGGGCTCCAAAATGTTTAAAGGCCAATCGAGCCACATGTTGATCCAATTCCAAACCGACCACCAATTCCAAACTAGGATACTTGACAATTTCATTCAAGAGTCCATTGTCACCAGCTCCGACAAACAAGACCCGTTTGATATCTTCCTTGACATATTTGGCCGTCTTGTGTACTTGAACTTCGTGATAATATGGCCAGTAAGATCGGCACATTTGAAAGATGGTATCCAAATTGAAGCAAACGTCTCTGGTTTCGGGATCGAAATAATGATCAATCAACTGATATTGCGAATTAAAGCTGGAAATGTCTGTGTAGTGATCCGAATCATACACCAACGATTCCGCTTGGTAGAGTGTCCGACGAAAGTCATCAATTGTGTCGACCACTTCATGTTCTTCCGGGACCACAAATAAATCTTCCGACGCATTGAGGCTTTCGTGGTGCTGAGAATAATCAATGGTTGGTTCCCAATATTCTTGTTCGGACATTTGGACACCCAAGGTCAAAGCTCGAATCAAGGCATCGTAATAGTCCAAAATGGCTTCCAATTCATCATCGGGTAGACTTCCCTCGGCTGGCACCAATACATCCGTGAGATATCCTTCCAATCGTTCCAAATGTTCCTTCATGAATCGTGTTCCTCCGTAGTAAGATCCGTAGATTGGGAATTGTTCAAAGATCCATTCGGCTGACAAGATTGGTTGTCCATCTTCATTGGTTCCCTCTTGGTCAATGTCCAAGGAGATAATTGGCATGATGCCAAATCCACCAAAGTGAAATCGTTGTGGATAGTCTTCCAAAAATCCCTTGTCGCGAAAGATTTCAGGTGTTCCCCAGACTTCAGGAGCATCTCCGCAATCAATGCACCGATCAAAGGAATGATACAAGTGTTCTCCCTTGGCAATGGGATCCGATGCCTTTACCGTGAATCCGGTTTTGCCACTACTTCTGAGCGAGGTATTCTCCACATTAATCTTTTCCTCTCGATTGTCATGCTTGATAAAATCATAGACGGGAGTAATGGCAACATCCCATCCACGTCCCAAGGCAGTCGCCATGGCCAAGATATCATCGGGATCGGTAGCATCCAAACACTCTAAATTAAAGAATTCCGTAGCACCATGTGGAGGAAGGGTATTGTCATCATCAATGGAAGGATCCTGTAACATGCCATCCAGCAAGGCTTTTCCTTTGGCCGACCACAGACTGGGCATGCGAGGAAGAATTTGATCAAGTGTCAACTTGAGATAGGCAATGTAATCCGCAAACAATGCTGTTGATGCTGACGATCCTTTACCATCGGCCTTGTGGATTTGTTCCAAAAAGGCATTCTTCAGGTCACACATGCCATCTTCGTAATCGTCTGAATCCACCAAAAGATACGCTTCCGGAGGAATCTGAAGCAGCAATTCGTCCTCTTCAATATTTTCGGTCGCAAAGAGGTAAAAGTCGGATGTCCAATCACTGGGATCGACTCTGCGGACTTCTAACTTGTCACTGACAATGGCATCCTTGGTGGCTTTTAAGGATTCTACAACTTTTGTGGCCAAAGCAAGCGCGGCATCGACTGCCTCCGTTGCTTCACAAGATTTGTCGTCGGGAGAAGTGCAAACACCAGCTTCCTCGGCAGAAACAATTGGACAATGATTCATCAGCATGATCATGAACAACATCATCATAATTGTCATTAGATGATTGCTAGCTGAGGAAGGCCAAAGCGTGGCATTTGACGCCATTGGTCGTATTCTCATTATTTTGCGATTGTATAATGAGGTTTATCAAGAGACCTGTTATACAATTACGAAAGGAGAACGTCTGAAGCAATGCAGTACCGTTAGCAAGGATCTAAATATACTCACGAAAGATGCTGTTATGGCTTCTTTATTATTGTCGCATCATCAGTTTCAACGCATTGGAGACAGTCGAGTCGACTCCGACGATCGAATCAAAACAGACAATGATAACGGATGGGAAGACAGACCTAAAACATGAGAATTCTGGATCTGAAGTTCTTGATTTTATCTCTGACACTGTCAGCATTGGAATACACATCCATACTATATACCATCTATATACTATTGGTATACAGTAGTAGCCTTCAATAATAGTCAAAACATCCATGTTTTAAGAATTAGCATTAGCCTGTCGCATTGCCGCCTTGGCAGCAATCTCGTCCATCAAGCTACTTGGTCTTGCCCGCATCTTGCTCCTTTGCGCGGAAATGTCGGCCATGAGACTAACCCTCTTTCCCTTGTTCTTCAATGGACCACCAGATGATATTTCCGACAAGAGACTATTCCTACTAGGTGCTGCCGAAGAAGCAGGCTTTTTGGGTGCGGTCTCGGAAGCAGGTTTCTTCTGGGGACATGAGGCTGGATCGATTTGTTTCTCATATTCTGGATAAGCAAAATTGCTCGGATATCCATAGTCATCCGCGAAATAGTCGAGCTTTCGGTTTGCCTTGATCGGACACCTAAAGCCATCACAAGAGCATTCGCCATCTGACCCTTGTTCGTACTGAGTCACATGGCGTTCATACGTTAGCAAATGGTCCTTCAGCGTCTGTCGCAGAATGCAATACCAGTTCCATTTGCGCTTGGTCAAGGCATCTTTGGCATGCCTCCATTTACTAGCAGTCGGAAAGAGGTATGCTTGCAAAGCTCGCCGTTCCGTGATTGTTAATCCAGTGACACGGCGTTGTTCCAAATTCGAGGGATGCGCTCGCTGGACAAAGTCGGGTTGCATTCGCAAGAGTGTCAAAATGTTCGTTCTAGCAAACTTGAGAAGGAATGGCTTGGGAATAAACTTGCCGCTGGGAGATCGAGTAGCGAGCCAATCTTCCACACTTTGCTGACGGATATTGACCGGCATGTGCTTCCAGACTTGCTCCAATGCTCGCTGGTTTTCCTCCTTGTTGTCATTGTCAAATGCCTTTTCCATTCGTTCTTGCTCTTCCAGATATTCGTCCGTCAGCTCCAACGCACGCATATACTTTTCCATCTGTTGCTCGAGTACAAAGTAGTCTTGCCGTAGTTTGGCTTGAACCTTTGGATCCGGGTGCGTGGCTTGCGAACTTCCAATCTCTTGCATCTTGGCGGCAATCTTCGAAACTTCTGCCTTGGCTTCCGCATATGGGATATCTTCAGCAATCATGATACCGGCCTTGTTCAGCTGCTGTTCCAATCGTTTTTGGCGGTTCTGAGCATCTTCTAAATCTTGCAAGAGCCTATCCACTTCGTGTTTTTCATTCCTTTTAGTACTCGCAATCCGCCTTCGGAGCCGTTGAATCGACAATTCGCGACATGACTGCGTGGACATCACCGAAATGGAAGTCTTGGCATCATCGTCCGATCGAACACTTCGTCTTGATGGAATGGCGTTTTCCTTCTTGATGGTAGCCATGAGATTGGATATGTTCCGATCAAAACCCGTTGACTTGCTGGACGCCCGAGCCTTTAGTCGTTGAGACGAATAACTGTTGCCCGATGTGGCAGTTCCAGCATCCGAGGTAGATGACGATTTGATACTTGGACTCATCTTGACCCTTCTATCATTGGAAAGTGTCGATCGCAAAGCACTGTTGAGTGGACTTGGTGACTTTGGCGACGGAGCCGAGGCCAAGCCCGGCATAGCAATGCCCAAGGCAAACACAAAACACTTTATCTCTTGTTGCGACAAGTAACCCTCTTTCGTCATAATCTTCTCCAATTCTTCTGTAGAAGTCACTGACTTGTTTTCAATCATGGAGCGATACATATCCAAGACAGAGTCAAAATTTGTTTTGGACTGAGACTCAATCTCGCTGACCTTGCCCAAGATTGGAGTAGAAGGAGGAGAAAGGGATACTTTTCGGCGCGCCATCGAGTCGTGCGACTTGGGACTGGCCTTATTGATTGATGTTCTAATAGCTGGTCGTAGAGGCGAAGACGGTGGAGAAGATCTGTTTGGTTTCGGACTACTGGATTGTTGGTCTTGTTGCAAAAACGGAGACTGGATCCTTGACTGAGACAAACACTTCTGAGGAGACTGCGATTGTTTCCCATGGCTCGGGCTGTTTTGTGAAGTATCATCGGTATTGTCTTCCTCGAGAAATGGTGACTTGAGCCGGCCTGGACCTAGTCGGCCTGGCGATTGTTTTGTTTCGTCATTGTTGCCGTCGCCTTTGTCCCAACCTTGCCCTTCTTGATTCGTGGGGCTTTCCTCCTCTTGCTTAAGTGATTCGGGGGGAGACATACCAGGTTCTTTCCGGAAGGGCGATTCCAAAAGAGACTTGGACAAGCGTCTTGGTGATGACAACTCTACATGCTTGCCATTGGCTATATCCTCCGCCGGTTCCTTGACAAATGGTGATTCCAACCGTTCCGTTGATAATCGTCGAGGCACTGGTGGCTTTTCGATAAGTTGTTCGGGCTGGTCATCAGCGTCCTGCGATAGATTTGCAGGAGAATCCGCTGGTGGATCTTCTTTTGGAGAGGATGATGATGATGATGTTGTCGTTTGATGCTGATGCGACAAGGATGCAAAAGGTCCAGACACAGGCTCTTGCAGTGTCTCTGGCTCCTCTTGTTTCGACTTTTCACTACGATGTAGTTTCACTGACACTGAAGGGGAACTTGCTGCTGCTGAAGTCTTCTCTTCTTGTGGATACGAGGATGTAGACGATGAAGACGCCGCAGTGGTAATAGTAGATTCCTCCAAAAATCCTTGCTTGTTGATCCGAGTCTCCTTCATTGTCATTTTCTGTTTCATCTTCTGACGCGCACTGGTTCGAAAACTCGTTTCCTTCTTTTTAGCCGACAGGTTGTTCTTGGCCTGATTGATGAAACTGTAGGGTGTTTGCAAAAACGTCGGAAGTGAATCCCAAGCATTGTATGGATCAGTAAAGGACACCTGATCAAAAGGCGTATCATTGTCAGCCTCAAGTTCATCCTTGGATTTGCTTTTGTTGAATAACGAAAACTTGTCAAAGGCTGGATTATCAAAAAGGGCCCAAGCTGGTGATTGATCTTGAACCGCTTCCGTTGCAACTATACTGGAATCCGTATAGCCCAAGTCTGATTCATCGTCCATTAGATTCCCCATTCGCATTCTCATGATTATTCGATTTGTTTGTGGATCATGGTATGGCTCGAACATACGCTGATGCTCCTCGTCATCGTCTGAATCAAAGTAATTTCCTTCTTCCGGTATTCGATTCGAGTTGTGGTACGGATCGTAGTACACTCCACCATTATTATTGTCATCAAAGTTATCATCAAAGTCGGCATCAAAGCTGGCTTCAAAGTAATCTGGATCGCCTTTCTTTGACGCGTCCGGTGATACCACGTTTAGCAATTCGACTTCTCCACTTCTTCTATTCAAAGCTCGCGCATCAAAACTACTGTTTCTCGGTATCTCATCTTGATCCAATAGACTATTTGGACGACTTCGATGTCCCTTCAATTGTTCATGCTGAGCCGTTTGTTCTTTTCTACGAGAATCCTGCTGATGTTGTTGTAGGCGATTATCTTTCATACTGTTGTTGTTGTTGCTGCCGCTGCTGCTGCTTCTGCTGCTGACGATGATTATCTTTAGCAACAATAAGAAACAGTTCTGATGATTTCAGGTTACGCGTCTTCCAAAGACAAGTTTGAAGGACTGACGATAGATCTGAGAGATCTGATTGCGGAATCAGTGAGCCTCGTATTCTGCTTTCTTGGTTCGTGCTTGATATTTGGTTGGATTGGCTTTAGTAGAAGTCAATATCTCACCATTTAGCGACACATGTGCTTCAGTTCAGATTTCAGGAACGGAAACAAAAGCAGAAATCGAGTTTCCTCCCTCTGGCGGGAACGTGCACGTCCGACTCCTATCAACGGACGAAAATACACTTTTCAAACCTACCGTTTCAGTACTGTTTCTACGCGTGCGCGCTCCAACCAGGTCTGAAAGCCGACTTGTCCGATCAAGAAGGATCTTCGTCGTCCATCCATCATCTCGAGATGTCGCAGTCATTATTATCAGCATCACACCTTCAGCAGCACTCAGTGGATGCCTGGAACAAAGAAGTACAAAGATTCTGAACAACAAGAACTTCCTCAATGGCTTCATGACTACCGAAAACCAACAATCCTAAAGTACGATACTTCCATTTATCCGTTTCGTCAACTCGTCGCCGACTGGCTCGGAGTACCATCCGATCAACTTGAAACCATCCACCTGTTGCCTCTACCGGAAGCTTCCAAAGTTAATCCAAGGATATGCCAAGCATGGAAGGCGGCAAAAATGCCACGGCTGACACGAGAAGCCAGAATAATGGATGCTCAAACCCAGCGTCAAGTCTTTCAATCGGATGCCTACCACAAGCTGATGGAAACCTATCGTCTCTTTGTCAAAGAAGTGATTGCCCCCGATTGTGGAGATCAAAATATTGTGTACCAGGCCCCACCGACCACACGTGTTGTACTACCCAATGGGAGATCCACCATCTCGATGCATTCCGACAAGGAGTATTCTGGACATCAAGCAGCCGAAATCAACTTTTGGTTGCCACTCACCAAAGTTGGAGGAACCAATTCGTTATGGCTGGAGAGTGCTCCTGGCAAAGGGGATTTTGAACCTATCGAGCTAGAATATGGTCAATTCCTCAAATTCAATGGGTACGATTGTCGGCATTATACCGTGGATAACGAAACGGACCAATGTCGAGTTTCGTTTGACTTTCGTGTGACTCCCTCTGAGTTGTGCCTCCAACGCAAACAATGTGGGGAATTTTGCGTAGAAGAAACTACTTCAGAAGGATACATTGCCTATCCTCACAAATTCTGGAAGATTACAAGAAACATGACCCACGGCGAGGAAGAGGGATTGGATCCAATAGAGTATATTCTACCGTCTGAGGACAAAGCCAAATACATGAGTACTCTGAAGTCCTAACTACAGTGGAAAAGAAGAATAGAAAGTGTTATCATTATATACATCTACACATATACTTTACTCTACATTTGCATTGTTCTTAAACAAAATAAAAAGCTGCCCCAATGACATACCAGACTACTACTGCTGTTCCTCATCCTCGTGAGCTACCGGTCGTGTTGGTTGAAAAAGGTATCCACAGAATCTAAATCCTTTTGGGAATTGATAATCCTGCCGTAGCCTCGTGGTTGGACATCTCGAAGACTAGGTTTCAACGTGCTGGCTGTATTGGCCACAATGAGAACCTCCAACATCTTGATATCCTTTAGTTCTTGGTCCGTCACACTTTCTGGACTGGCATCAGGAGAACTGCAGGTTTCCTCATCATTTTCCATCATGGTGGACTTATTGGATATCCACAGGTTAATGTCAACTTGGCTTCTACCATCCCAAGAGATCACTGCCGTCCCTTGGCCCCATGAGCCCGTACAGACAACTCCATCGCCGCCATTGATGGATTTGAATTGAAATGCCTCGAAAATGGCTCCCTTCGGAGCCAATGCGTTTCGGACAACATTGATCAGCTTTTGAGGGTCTTCCAATGGTAATAAAACTTGGGGATCGAGCTGGTCTTGGTTGACAAAACGAGCGACGGATTGCGTGCCAGCTGGTCGTTGAGAAGCCCATTGCGATTTGGCATCGGTAGTGTCATAGTCCTCTGCTTTCGTCACCTGACTGAACTCAACGAGATCGCAATCATCAATCTTGTCATCCCTCCAGTAGCCTCCAAATACGTTTCGGATTTCTATCGTGACATCAGCAGTAGGATCGTCCTCCCCATCGATTTCGTGAGCTCTCTTCACTGCATCCACCATGTGCTCAAAGAAGAGTGGATCGCCCACAACTCCCATCACGAGTTCCAAGCTGCTCTTTTGACTGGTAGAATTGAACAAAAGATGCGCCCGATGCACCGGATCCACTTGGGCCAATCCAAATCGAAAGTAATCAACAAGCTTACGTTTCCAAACGTCGTTCTTGGAATCGACAGTGCCCACGACAAATATATCGTCAAAGTTGATATAGGTGCCATTGTTCAAGTATCGCAGAGAGTCGCTGAATTCTTCGCTACAACCAGGATCTAGGATCAGCATATCAACGAACTCGTTCTCCTTCAGTTCCTGTTGCAAGATTTGCTGGACTCGCTGCATGGTACATTCATCCAGATATTCTTCCTTATTTCCTGTCCATCCATCAAACTTCACGTCATCCACCGTGCAAGGATGCAATGGAATAATATGGTTAACGAGGCGATGATCATAGAGTGTTTCCAAACTTTGGCAGGGTTCCGAAGTTACATTGCACATCACTGCAACTGTCAACTCCTTGCCTTGAATGATGTCCAGACTCGTTTCAAGCGCAAGTTCGTATACATCAGCGGAAGATGGCTGGTCAAGTACTGGCGCTTCCTTTTCGGAGCACAGATTGTCAATTTGAGGTCCATGCTTTTTGGCCTCCTCCTTCCAATTCGATAGCCCAAACATTCCTCCTGCCACAATGCGGTAGGATGATGTGGACTTGTTCATCAAGTCGCCACCCAAGGCATCTGCCACAATTGCCTTCTTGAGTCCCTCGTGACTGTCGAAAGAACTCCACAAATGAAGATCCAATGCACAGTACTTTTTCTCTACCCATAGTCGAACAACCACGTATCCTTCCTTCATCACAATCACAAACCAAGGCGACTCCAATGGAGATTCCTTTTCCGATACTACAGTCAAACCAACTCCCTCGATGGCTTTGATAACGGAAATACGAACCGCTGGGAGCGACGACAGGTCAGCAGTCAAGCTTTCGGCTTCAACTATCATCATGATTCCAGGGGCTGCAGATTGCGGCTGGTCTTCTGATGGTTTCTCTTCTTCTTCTTCTTGGGTTACCTTGCAAAGTTTCTTAAAGGCAGGATTTGGGTTGTGCCGATAATCATGGATGCGGTCGAACCGATGTTTCGTCAACATGCTATCCTTTTCGACCAAGATGGTTGCATCTTCCACCAACTCGTGCTCCGTCAGCTCTCGGGACATAAAATCGACGTCATTGCTAGCGAATATGGCAGACTGATCCAAAATCCTTGGCACATCATTAAAGTTGTAATGAACAGTGTATTCAAACACTTTGCTGACTTTTTTCATGAACAACTCGTTCATTTCAAAGATGCCACCCGGCCGAAGCAGTAGACTTATAGCTTCAATCACATCCAACTCTGCTGAAACTGACAACGAGAATACTGTATCCGACAAGTCCACAATGACCAAGTCGAACGATCCAAAGTAGTGCTCCGGCAGCATCAGTAGGGATTCAGAAGCATCACCATACCACCACTGGACTCTCGGATCATCGTAATGTGGTCGCGAAGCAAAGTGCTTGAATGCTGATCGAGTGACTTGTTGATCTAGTTCTAGACCGACAGCCAGCTCTAGGGTAGGGTACTTGAGGAACTCATTGAGAACCCCGGAATCTCCACCTCCAACCCACAGAACCCTTCGGAGATCTTCTTTCAAGTACTTTGCGGACTTGTGAACGACGAGCTCGTGGTAGTGTGGCCAGTAAGACTGATCATTTGCACCAAAGCGATGAAAAAAGAACGCTGGTGAGTTAAGCCAAGTATGAGTGGGGAAAGGATCGGGTCGTTTTGAACTTACAATACATTGTTGGTAGACACTGTCGAGGTAGAGGCATCGGTCGTTCGTCTTCGGATCTTTGTAGTAGTTGATTTGCTGGTAGGCCGATTGTAATTCGTCAATTGCATTGAACTCGTGGTTCAAAATCTTTGTAATCATCGTGCTGCACTGGTACAGCTGAAAGTACAGATGGTCCATGTTTTCGATTGCAACTTTCTCTTCGGTGACAATGTACTCGGAGCCAGTTCGCTGGTTCATAGCATCAGCAGCTTTCAATGCTGTGTCAAGTGCGGCAATATAGCTAAGAAGAAACTCAAATGAAATGCTGATTTCGTGTGGAGTGAGATGGGCCAGCAAATTATGGTTCGTCTTCGGTGAGTTGTATGCATCAATCATTTGGTTACGAATGTCAAATAGACCGTCATAGTTCACCCTTAGAGTATAGAGTGCATCATCATCAGGTATCGTATCGGATAGCCATTGAACCCTCAACTTTGGCTGGTAAGCTTCTGTGCCGTCGTCGTCAGGCCCATCCTGGTGAATCATAAAATCTAGTGCATGCTCGGGGAAAAACCAACGTTGAGGATAGGGTTCAACAAATCCATGAGTCCGGAACATCTCCATGGTTCCAAGTCCATAATCGACAAAACCAAGCCAGTGATTTTCTTGGGGACTACCGAGACCATATGAGTACCGAAGCTCTTCCGACGGTCCCATGTCCCGAGATGCGAAAACGCTGAAAGAGTGATCATTAGGACTGCCGCTCTTCTTTCTTACGATATTCATTTTTCTTGGATCGTTGGAATGTTGGATCATGTCATACAGTGGCACCAGCAGATCGTCGTGCCTTCCTCGAGATAAGGCGATTTCAAGGTTCTCGTCCCAAAAATCGGGATCTCCAAAGCCTTCGAGTCCTGATTCGTTGAGAATCCTCTGAATCTCTTCTCCTGATTCTCCTTGGAGGAAGCATCCATAATAATGTCGGAATGTCGTAAAGTAGGTAGCTTGTGTGATATTTCCTAATATGTACCGTCCAGTTTGAGACCAGGTTGCCGGCAAATTGATTTGACCAACCACAAACTTTTCAAAAAAGTCCAAGTAAGGCCCATACTCGCTTTTTCCCTCAGCGTTCAAGTTCCTCTCAAGTAGAACTTCATCTGCCAGCAAACACATGTTGTCAAGAACCGTAACCGCCTTGACATCGGAGTAGATCATGACATCGTCCGGTAAATCCAGTAAACGTTCGCCTTCTTTGACCCTTTCATCAGATTTGATAAACACTCCAAAGGAATATTTTTCATCATTGTCGTCGTCGTCATCATCAGAGGAGGGAGAGTCAAAACCGTCAATCTCCACAGAAAAAGCGCGGAGCTCGATTTTCGGACTCACGTAGCCACCATGATTGATCACCCATTGAATCATGCTGTACACGGTATTTTGCAGGTCACTGTCATCATCATCATCTGACGATGATGATATCGTTTCTTCTTGCTCATCTGCTGCCGCCCCGTCAACACAGACATGGATCGTGCTTATGCTTATCAGCCATACTATTAGAACAAGCGTTCCCTGAAGGTTCCATGAGAATAACATCAGAATCGGAGGTGCATTGACGACAATAGGTATATATACAGACGAGAAGGAAAAAAATGATGATCGCGTGATGACGAGAAATGATGGATTTTTTTGTAGTCGACTGAGTCCACTTCAGCATCGTTGAAAACATTAGGTCCTATTGTTGATGATGGCAGTATATATACAGTAGTGCCCGTACCCCTTTATCATATTTCCAATCTTTGAATCAAATCGAATATATAGATATCGCTATATTGTTATAGCAAACGCATTATGCATCGACAAACAAACTCGATACTCCAGGCTTTTTGGCATCTTTGAAGTTCACCACACGCCCATATCCTCTTGGCTGAATATCACGAAGCCAGCCTCCAAGATTTGTCAATCTCGCCTTGATGTCGCTTTCAAAAGCATTGAGCTCATCTTTCTCCAATGTGCTGAATATGTTCAAATCAACTCCATATCGTCCGTCCCAAGATACAACAGCAGTTCCTGTTTCCCAAGTACCTGCGCAGATGGCACCATCTCCCCCAAAGTCATCGTATACAGTCATCGAGGCCCCTATTCTTGTTCCAAAAACTTCCTTGCAGGCAGCTACCAAATCATTTTTCTTCAATAACGTGGCCGTTCCATCCACCATGTTAGAGAATTGCAATAATGTCTGTACGGCCACAGGACTTTGAGAAGACCACTGTTCGGTAGAATCCGTATGATCGTAGTCTTCTTTCACCGCCGAGAATGTGACATTAACCGTCGTGTAAATAGGATCAAGCGGCTCTCGCCAATTGCCACCAAGAATGTTTCGAATCTCCACAGTTGAGGTGGAAGACTTCTTTTGCTGCGCTGCTACAGCTTCACTGATATGTTCCATGTGCATTGTGTCGCCCGATGCAGTGATCGAGAGCTCGAGGCTACTTGATGTTGTATTGAAGAGGAACTGAGCGCGATAAACTGGCTCCAACACAATTTGATCTCTCATGGTACTCAGGGCTCGTCGCTTCCAAATGTCGAGTACTGAATCGGTAGTCGATGTCAAAAAGATCTTCTGTAGGTCTGTGTGCTCACCATGGAGAAGCATGTTGATTTTGTCGTTAGCCAGAACAGTGGCTTCAAAGTCGAAAAAGATAGCATCAACGATTGCCTCGTCCGGGAGATCTGATTCAATCGTTTCTTTGGTCAGATCCAATGTAGCTTGTCTGAGATCTGCGCTATCCTTTTCCTCGGCATCGTACAATGGAATCACTTTAGAGAACCGATCACCAACCTTGACCACATTAAGAGTGGAACACATTGTTTCTTTGGAACCGCAGAGTACGGCAGCTGTCAAGCCACTGCCTTGCATGATATCAAGACTCATCTCCATCGCTTCCAGGTAGACTTCAACGGGAGATGCTTGATCCCGAATTGGTTCCTTCTCTTCCTCGCAGAGGTTGTCAAGTTGTGGCCCGTGCTTTTTGGCTTCCTCCTTCCAATTGGACAATCCAAACATTCCTCCTGCCACGATGCGATACGACGAAGTAGATTTGTGAACTATGTCTCCGCCCAATGCCTTGACAACAATGGCTTCCTTCAGACTATCGTGACTATCGAATGCACTCCACAGGTGAATATCCAAAGCACAATACTTTTCCTTCGACCATAATCGAACGACAGCATATCCTTCCTTCATCATTATCACAAACCAGGGTGACTTCGACGATATAGAAGAGTTGTCGGAGACCACGGTCAAGCCTACGCCCTTGATAGCATCAACAATGAAACTGCGAACATTTGATGGCGAGGAGAGATCAGCAGTCAAGCTTTCCGCTTCTACAATCATCATGATACCTGGAGCCGTCGTCTGAGGCTTATCATCGTCTGGTTCCTTGTCGACAGCACCTTGCAGCTTCGTGCACAGTTTCTTGAATGCTGGATACGGATTGTGTCGGTAGTCATGGACACGGTGGAATTGATGTTCGGACAACATGCTGTCCTTTTCTACCAATAGATTTGCATCGTCCACTAGTTTGTGTTCGGTTGGAGCTTGAGACATAAAATCGACATCGTTACTGGCAAAAATAGCAGCTTGATCCAAAATCCTTGGAACATCGTTGAATTGATAGTGCACAGCATACTCGAATACCTTGCTGACCTTCTTCATGAACAATTCATTCATTTCAAATATGCCACCCGGCCGAAGCAATAGACTGATGGCTTCAATCACATCCAGCTCTGCTGAAACTGATAGTGAAAAGACAGTGTCCGACAAATCCACAATCACCAAATCGAAGGAACCGAAATAGTCCTCGGGAAGCATCAACAATGACTTGGAAGCATCACCGTACCACCACTGGACTCTTGGGTCATCGTAATGGGGCCGCGAACCGAAGTGCTTGAACGCCGATCTTGTGACTTGCTGGTCCAATTCGAGTCCGACGGCAAGTTCCAAAGTAGGATATTTGAGAAATTCGTTAAGAACACCAGAATCTCCGCCCCCGACCCAGAGAACTCGCTTGAGGCCTTCCTTGACGTACTTGGCAGGTTTGTGGACGCAAAGTTCGTGATAATGTGGCCAGTACGACTGTTAATGGACGGATAGATGGCCCAATGGACATGACAGAAATGATTAGACTTTGTATCGATTGCAGTGTCTCAACGCTTCCGAAAGTCAAAATGGCTCACTTACAATGCATTGTTGGTAAACCCCATCAAGGTATAGACACCGATCTTTCGTCAATGGGTCCTTGTAGTAATCGATTTTCTGATAAGCTGATCTCACGCTTTCAATCTGCGTAAAGTTGGTGTCCTTCAGTTTGGACATGATGTTACTCTGATAGACCTGGAAATAAAGATTGTCCATGTTATCAATGAGTACTCTTTCTTCTTGCAATTGGTAGGGTGTACCGTCTTCGCCCCGTCTTTCCCGATTCTCGAGAAGTAGCAATTCCACAACATGGATATAATTACAAAGGAAGTCATACGTTCGCTTCACTTCCCTTGGATTGACTCCAACTACGTATGCAGGTTGATGTTCTGGAAATTCCCAGTTGTCCATACCTGCCTTGAGGGCAAAGAGACGTTGATACAACTGTTCCAGAGTATAGATGGCGTCATCGTCCGGGCGCACTTCGGAGTTCCACCCTATTCCAAAGGTTGTCTTACCATCCTCGAGGTCCATCGCAACAATGGAAAAGTCAATGAAATGCGCTGGAAAGAACCATCTTTGGGGATAATCCTCTATGATGCCATGATCTCTGAATAGTTCGGCTGTTCCGATACCGAATTGCATCACACCCTGCCATTGGTCTTGCTCCGCCATGCCCAATCCATAAGAGAACTTGAGCTCCTCATTCGATTCAATTTTACGAGTGGCTTTGAGCGAAAGTGTCTCGTCGTCTTCGTCATCTTTCTTAGGGAAAGTCGCGGCGACATTAATCTGATTGATATTGTTGGAATGAGCGACCATATCGTACAGTGGAACGAGCTTGATATTCTGACGAGTTCTGGATAACGCAACTTCGATAGACTCTTCATAGTGCAGGGGGAAGGTTTGGAATTCCTTGTGAGGAATCTCCTGTCCATCAACCTCATGTTTGAGACAGTGCTGATATTCCTTAACATCCTCAAAAAAGTCATCAGGAACAACATGCGCCAAAATGTTTTTTCCGCTTTGAGACCAAGACATTGGTAAGAAAACTTCTCCAACCACATATTCTTCCAAGAACTGCACGTATGGTCCAAACTCGCTATTTCCGTCCTCGTGTGCAAAGCGCTCACCCGCAAGCTCATCCGCCAATAGACAAATGTCATCTTCGAAAGCGAGGCTCTTGACATCAGAGATAATCATAGCACTTTCAGGGATCAGCAGCAGCTCTTCTCCTTCTTCGATCACTTCATTTTCCCTCACAAAGATTCCAAACTGATAAGTTGGTTCAATCTCGTCTCCATCCTCAGAAAGGTGGGGCTTGTGTTCTTTCTCAGGTTGTGTTTCACCTGATTCTTCAGCATGTTTCTTCTGATCCAAATGAAACTTAAACAGAAGATCATCGATGTCTTCATCAATCGCCATTGCGCGGATTTCTAGTTTAGGGTTGAAAATGCCTCCCTTTTCTCTGATCCAACTTAACAACGCTTCCAAAGTTTCCTCTAAATGAGCATCTTGGTCTTCTTCTAGCAACTCTGCGCTACAGCTGTTATCGCTGACACAAACTTGTGCACTAGAGGCAGAGATGACGCATAAAAGAGACAGAAACAAGAGAAACCCGTTCAGGAATCCTCTCGACACCAGCATATTTGAAAACGTCTAGATATGTACAATGTGATGGGCAATGCTGCAGGTGACACAGCAGAGAACGATGTTGTTTGACCTGCGAAAGACACAAAATACTTGAAGGCCGCTGATTCGTATGCTCGCATTTTGAAACGGTCAGATTTTGCGCAGGCACGCGACTTAATCTTCTTCGGGAATGCATTAATTCAAACCAAAGCCGTTAAATGCCGGTGTCTAGTCTGCCTCCGATATAGTACGTCATATTTTTAAAAAAAGAAATTATGATTTTTTCATATTTCGTTGAATGATACCGGTAACCAACAGTGGAGATGATGGATACATTATATTCAAATATACATCGTCGCCACCGTTTCATCTCCTCATATCAACGGTTTGATAGGATGAGAAAAAAATGTCTTTTTTTCTTTTAGATTTATGAAAAGATTCTATAGGGTTCTCTACTACTGTGTCCCGATCATTGGTTTCGCCAATCAATGGTGATTGGTCTAAATCTCAATCTTCAGTGTCGGGTTCATCGTCTGTGAAGAAACTAGCTTTGCCAAGCATGCCTTCTTTGAAATTTACCACGCGGCCATATCCCCGTGGCTGAATGTCACGGAGCCAACCTCCAAGATTCGTCAGTCGCTCCATGATGTCGCTTTCAAAACCTTGTAGCTCGGGAAGATCCGATGTACTGAAAATGTTCAAATCCACTCCATACCTTCCATCCCATGACACAACAGCTGTCCCAGTTTCCCAGGTACCAGCACAAATAGCGCCGTCACCTCCAAACTCATCGTAGACTTTCATAGAGGATCCGGATCCCATTCTGGTCGCAAAAGCTGCAGCACATGCCATGACCAAGTCATTCTTATTCAACAGAGTAGGCATTCCATCCACAAGGTTTGAGAATTGTAGTAACGTCTGGGTAGCTAGGGCAGTTTGCGTTTCCCATTGACTTCTTGCATCATCGTGGTTATAATCTTCAGCCACCGTTACATGCGAAATATCATCATCATTGCAATCGGCTTGCTTCTCTAACCGAATGCTTCCACCCAGAATGTTTCGAATCTCCAGTGAAACATCTGGGTTCTTTGCTTGTGAGTGAGCGACAGCCTTGGTAAGATGCTGCATGAACATCGGGTTCCCATCGACCAGAATCGACAATTCTAGACTGCTAGTCGTTGTGTTTAACAGCACTTGTCCTCGGAAGAGTGGATCAACATCATAATCATCTCGCATTGCACTCAAAAATCTTCTTCGCCAGATTTCCGGTTGTGAATCTGTCGTGGAAGCAAAAAACATATTTGTATCCTGTATGCGATGCTCAGCATTCATCATGCCCACAACCTCGTTTGATATCGGAGTGGAGCTCAGGTCGAAAAAGATGGCGTCCACCAAGATCGGAGGGTCTGCTTGTAGGAATGGGTCAAGGATCTCTTTCGCGAAATCGATAGAGCGTGTGATACGAGTCATTCGGTCCGAACCTTCTTCTACGGTGGCTTCGTAAAGGGGGATCACCCGTTCGAACTTTGAATCAGCCTTTACAACATCCACAAAGGTGCACTTGTCTTCCTTCCGTCCACATGCTACAGCAGCAGTCAAGCCAGTGCCCTGCAAGACTTCTAGACTCAATTTCAGTGCTTGCATCTTCACTTCAATAGGTGATGCTTGGTCTCGCAACACTTCCTCCTTCTCGACACACGCTTTGCTCAACTGAGGGCCGTGCAATTTGGATTCTTCCCTCCAATCCTGCAATCCAAACATCCCTCCTGTCACAATACGGTACGATGATGTGGACTTGTTGTTCAAGTCGCCACCCAAAGCGTCAACCACGATTGCCTTCTTGAGACCTTCGTGACTGTCGAATGAACTCCATAAATGAATATCCAAAGCACAGTACTTTTCTTTCGACCACAATCGGACCACGACATATCCTTCCTTCATTGTGATGATGAAGAATGGAGATTCCTGCGCTGAGAACTTGTCCGATACTACAGTCAAGCCAAGTCGTTCGATCGCATTAATGATGGAGCTTTGTATAGCTGATGGTAACGATAGATCAGTAGTCAAGTTTTCGGCTTCGACAATCATTGTGATACCCGGAGCAGTGGTTTGAGGCTTGCTGTCATACTTCATTTCCTCCTCTTCTGCTTGTTTCATCTTTTTGCATAGCTGAACAAATGCGGAGTTTGGATTGTGTCTATAGTCATGAACGCGATCGAATTGATGCCTTGTCAGCATGCTGTCCTTTTCTACCAACAAGGTGGCATCTTCCACAAACTCGTGCTCTGTCAGCTCTTGATAAAGGAAGTTGACATCGTTACTGGCAAAGATTGCCGCTTGGTCCAAAATCTTGGGCACGTCGTTAAAGCTGTAGTGAATGGCATGTTCAAATACGTTGCTCACTTTCCTCATGAACAGTTCATTCATTTCAAAGATACCTCCTGGTCGAAGTAAAAGACTAATGGCTTCAATCACGTCTAGCTCTGCCGATACTGACAGGGAGAATACCGTGTCGGATAAGTCGACAATTACCAAGTCAAAGGATCCGAAATAATCTTTCGGAAGCATCAGTAGTGATTTGGAAGCATCACCATACCACCATTGCACTCTTGGATCATCAAAGTGAGGTCGAGAGGCAAAGTGCTTGTACGCGAGTCGAGTTACTTGCTGGTCCAGCTCGAGACCTACTGCCAACTCCAAGCTTGGATACTTCAGAAATTCATTCAGCGGTCCCGAGTCGCCACCGCCAACCCAAAGTACTCGCTTGAGATCTTCCTTGAGATATTTGGCAGGCTTGTGGACGACGAGCTCATGATAATGTGGCCAGTACGACTGTTCAGACGCGAATGGGAAATGAAGTCGTGTGAGAACGGAAAATCATCCATGTGATGCTTGCCGGTAGCCTGGGGAAAATACACCAAGAGCACTTACAATGCATTGTTGATAGACACCATCAAGATAGAGACATCTATCCTGTGTCACTGGGTCCAAAAAGTATTCAATTTTCTGGTATGCTGATCTGAGTGATTCAATGTGCTGAAAGTAACCATTGGTGATGTTGACAATCATGTCGTTGCATTGATAAGTTTGGAAGTAGATACTATCCATGTTGTTGATGAGAACCTTTTCTTCCTCAACCATGTAGACTGATTCGTCTGGGACATGCATCGACTTCATTGATTCCAAACCTACCTCCACAGCATCGAGGTATTTGCAAAGGAATTCATATGCCCGTTTTAAGTCTTGAGGGTTTATTCCTCTAACAAAGTCAGCCCTTTTATCAACATCCCACCAGAAATTCATTTTCTCCTTGATTTCAGCGAGTCGATCGTGCAAGACTTGCAAAGTGTAGATGGCATCATGGTCTGGATACGCATCAGAGTTCCATCTGACTTTTAGCTCTCGTTGTCCTGAAGCGTCGAAAACTTCGTCCACTGCGAAATCAAGCATATGCGCCGGGAAATACCATCGCTGGGGGTATCCTTCTATAATGCCATAATCATGGAACATTCGCATGGTCCCCATCCCAAATTTTGTCACCCCGTTCCATTGATCGTCTTCCATTTGTCCGAGGCCAAAAGAATGTCGTAGTTCCTCTGATGACCGAATTTGTCGCTTGGCATAAACAACCATACGTCCATCATCGTCATCTTCCCCATCAGTCGCTCTTGCTTGAAATATATTGATCTTGTCGGGGTCATTGGAGTGACTAATCATATCATAAATGGGAACCATAATTGTGTCGTTTCGAGCCAATGCTTGTGCAACTTCGACAGCCTCATTCCAATAAGGCAGGTTGTCTTCAGGCTTGAATCGGGGCTCCCTATTGTTGACTCCATTGATGATATGGTCGAAACATTCCTGATAAAAGTGCAAGGGAACAAAGAAGTCGGCCGTTGTGATTGCCATCAACAAATGTTGGGCTTCTGATTTCCACGACATTGGTAGCTTGACCTCTTCGAAGACAAAGTGTTCCAATAGCTCCATATATGGCGCGATGGTACTTTGACCATGTTCGTGATTATAGCGTTGGACAGCAAGTTCTTCAGCTAGCAAGCAAATGCTGTCAAATCGATGAGGACTGAAAATATCTGAAAATATCATCAAATCTTCAGGGATTTCCAGCAGTTCTTCGCCCTCTTCTACTGTTTCGCCGTCTTTGACGAAAATACCGAAGGAAAAGCTGCGTCCAACTGTCACATCATAATCTTCACTTTCGCTGGCGCTATCCGCACTTTCTTCTTCGAATCTTTCAACCAGATCTTTCAGTTCCAAGTGTAACGGAAAGGAACGGATTTCCAGCTTTGGATTCACAAATCCATCATTTTCGTTGATCCACACAATTAGTTCATCTAGCGTCTGACGAAGTTTAACTTCTCTTTCATTCTCTGGTTCCGTTCGGCATGTATTCTCGTCCACGCAGACTTGTGCTGTCACAGCATGGTCATTAATGATCAAGGTGAAAGATACTATGAATATCGTCAAAATGCCTGATAAAACTGTGTTTGGACATCTTCCGCAAAAGAATGCCATTTCTTATTCAGCGTCTAAAGGCAAATGGATGCGCTGAAAGGAGTGCTTTGGACAATGATGATGGTGATTATGATGATATCTATGATGAATGATGATACACCAGACACGTGTGTAGATATCAGGTCGGCGTTTTATATCGCGCTCTTTCCTTTCCAGCTCTCTTATTATTATTGTCGAGCAAGCCACTACTAAAAGAAACATCGCACCTTTCCCATCAACGACGTGATGACGTCATGACTTCTTAGGGGCTAAGCACAGACATTCACGTGGCATTTCAAATAATGTATCGGTAAACTGCACCAGGTACTGTACCTGGTAGTACCTGGTACGGTACCGGTACGATCTTACTCTTGCTACAATGTACCAGATACCGTATGAATGACAAACCAGAATTGACATTACATCCTCAATGATATCCAACCTTAAAATAAAGTAACTCTATCATTTATTGGGTATTGTGTAGGTATTGTTTATTATTTACTCATCATCATCATCACTGAAAAAGTTGGAAGCTCCAGGCATCATACTTTCCTTGAAACTCACAACTCGGCCATAACCTCGAGGCTGAATATCTCGAAGCCAGCCAATGAGACTTGAAAGGCTGGTCTTGATGTCCTTCTCAAAGCTTTGCAACTCCTCCAAATCCAATGTGCTGAATATATTCAAGTCGACTCCATATCGACCATCCCAAGAAACCACGGCGGTTCCAGTTTCCCAAGCACCTGCGCAGATAGCACCGTCCCCTCCAAAGTCATCATAGACCTTCATTGAGGATCCTTTTTGTGTCGCAAAGGCTCCAGCGCATGCTTTGATTAAATCATCCTTCTCGACGGGAACAAGTTCTCCGTACATACTACTCGAGAATTGTAGCAATGTTTGGGTTGCAAGAGGAGTTTGAGACGCCCATTGACTTCTTGCATCGTCATGGTTGTAGTCATCTTCAACGGCCACTTGCGAAAATTCGTCGTCGGTACACATGTGCTGCTTGTCCCCTCTCCACAAGCCACCAACTATGTTACGAGTCTCCAGAGTAACTGCTGGACTCTTCTCTTGTGAACCAGAGACAACGTCTGAAAGGTGTTCCATGAAGAGAGGATCCCCCGATGCGGTGATGGAAACTTCAAGACTGCTTGATGTCGTGTTCACAAGGAGTAGTGCGCGAAAGACAGGATCCATCTCAATCTCTCCTTTCAGAAGATCCAGATATTGTCGTCGCCAAATTTCAGACTTTTTGTCCGTGGTCGCAAAAGTGAAAAGGTTTTCTAGATCAAGGTGTCCGTCATCCATAATCATTCGGAAAACATACGTCGAAAGCTCGGTTGTGCCATCGTCAAGGAAAACAGCGTCGATAAAGTCAGCTTCGCCAGGCAATTCTGCATCCAGCAATATTTGTGCCTCTTCAACATAGTTGTCCAGTGTTTTTGCACTTCCCGCTTCATTTTCATAGATGGGAATGACTTTGTCAAACTTGGCACCAACCTTCACAACATCCATTGCCGAGCAGTCTGTGCTCTGTGATCCACACAATACAAGAGCAGTCAAACTACTCCCTTGCAAAACATCCACGCTCAATTCCAATGCTTGCATCTTTACATCCAAAGGCGATGCTTGGTCACGAATAGGTCCTTCGTCTTCTGTACAAAGGTTATCAAGCTGGGGACCGTGCTTCTTTGATTCTTCCCTCCAATCGGGCAATCCAAACATCCCTCCTGTCACAATGCGGTACGATGATGTGGACTTGTTCATCAAGTCGCCACCCAAAGCATCAACCACGATTGCCTTCTTGAGACCTTCGTGATTGTCGAACGACCTCCACAAGTGAAGATCCAAAGCGCCGTACTTTTCTTCCGACCACAATCGGACCACGACATATCCTTCCTTCATCGCAATGATGAAGAATGGAGAATCGAGATCGGATAGTTTGTCCGATACTACAGTCAATCCAAGTCCTTCAATAGCATCAATGATGGCGCTTTGTACCGCTGATGGCGATGATAGGTCAGTAGTCAAGTTTTCGGCTTCGACAATCATTGTGATACCCGGAGCAGTGCTTTGAGGCTTCTCGTCGCCATCGGCTTGTTCCTTGTCGTCCTGTACCTTTTTGCATAGCTTTTTAAAGGCTGGATTCGGGTTGTGTCGATAGTCATGGACGCGATCGAACTGGTGTTTTGTCAGCATGCTGTCCTTTTCTACCAACAAGGTAGCATCTTCCGCCAGCTTGTGTTCGGTCAGCTTTTGTTGCATGAAATTAACATCGTTGCTGGCAAAGATTGCCGCTTGGTCGCAAATCTTGGGAACATCGCTGAATTGATAGTGAATGGCATGTTCAAATACGTTGCTGACTTTCTTCATGAATAATTCATTCATTTCAAAGATGCCTCCTGGTCGAAGCAGAAGACTGATGGCTTCAATCACGTCTAATTCGGCCGACACGGAAAGAGAGAACACAGTATCAGAAAGATCCACGACTACCAAGTCGAACGATCCAAAGTAATCCTCTGGGAGCATCAGTAGTGACTTGGATGCATCACCGTACCACCATTGGACTTTCGGGTTATCAAAATGTGGACGAGAGGCAAAGTGCTTGAATGCTGATCTGGTAACTTGTTGGTCCAACTCAAGACCGACGACTAGATCCACAGTCGGATACTTGAGAAATTCATTAAGTGGCCCGGAGTCTCCACCGCCAACCCAGAGTATTCGCTTGAGATCTTCCTTGAGATATTTGGCAGGCTTGTGGACAACGAGTTCGTGATAATGTGGCCAGTACGACTGTTCAGAAGTTATCCAGTGGAAATGGTTGATTAAGAAAACAAAACTTAGAATCAGCAATACTTGCCATACAAGGAGCCAAGCAACGGTGCGGCACTTACAACACATTGTTGGTATACACCATCCAAATACAGACAGACATCATCCGTTTCTGGATCTCGATAGTAGTTGATTTGTTGGTAGGCAGATCGAAAGTGTTCAATCGTATCAAAATCGTGGTCAAAGACTCTTTGAATCAATGTGTTGCATTGGTATTGATTGAAATAGATACTGTCCACATTGTTAATGACGAATTTCTCTTCTTGTACTTGGTACTCGGTTTCGTTCAAAGATTGGCGATCCGCCATCGCCGCAGCGATTGTCATTTCAAGCGCCGTCATGTGCGCATCAATGTACTTCAACAATAATTCCTTTTCAAATGATAATATAAGGTCGTCGTCTTCCTCCTGTTCTTCGTTTTCGGCTTTCTTCTCACCACTGGTTGTGGCCTCGGTTTCCATAGAAGCAACGACATTGTAATACTGCTTCCAAATGCTTAGTTCTGTTTGAAGATAGTACATGGTATCGTCGTCCGGCAAGTCACCGCCTAGCCACGTCAGAGCTAGTTCCGTATCATCATCATCGTCATCATTGACAGCCGTATCTCTTCGATCCAACCCAACCGTCAATGCATGTGCCTCCCACGTCCATTGCTGTGGGTAGTCCTCCACAATACCATGGTTCATGAACATGTCCTTGCTGTGTTTTGTCATGGCATTATCTCCCCCATACTTGTAGTCTGTGTAGTACGAGAATCGGAGTTCCTCCTTGGGCGCAAGGTCGCGGGATGCAACAACTTCCCAATTGTCCTTGAGATCCACTACAATGCTTGCACTTGTGACTTCCACATTGATCTTTTGAGGGTCGCTGGAATGCTGAATGAGATCGAATATAGGGACCAACTTGTTGTAAGGCAATCCATGCGCATGGGCAATTTCAATTACTTCATCCCAATACTCAACATCGTTCATCATTGGATCATTGGAGTGACGGTCGTCGTTGCCCTCTCCGAATACATCAAAGTGAAAGCACCGGTAGAACTCTCGAAACGTCGGAAAAAAGTGCGGATCTCTGCTGAATAATTCTCGCAAAGTGGCCACTCCCATGGCCGACCATGTCGCTGGTATGTTGGAATGATCCACAACATAGTTTTCCAAAAACTTGATGTAAGGTTCAAAGGAACTGCCCGCCGGAGTGTCATAGTCATCGTCATCGCCATCGGTTTGTTCCTTTATACGATTGTAGTGTCGCTCAAATGCCAATTGATCCGCCAAAAGGCAAAGAACTTCACCAACGTCCTCGGCCTCGGCCTCTCTAGCAACCTGGATGATGGTTTCCGAAGGTATTGACATTAATTTTTCCCCTTCAGAAATCTTCTCCTCGCCATCTTTGACAAAGACTCCAAATCTATAAGTGGGGCGACCAAGTTCATTATTGTGCAAAAGAGAATACCCGACGCTCAAGCTGGGATGAATATAGCCACCTTTGCCTCGGATCCAATCAATCAAGGATTGCAAGGATTCCTCAAGTTCATCAGATTTCACCAATTCGTCAGTATCATTGTTGTCCACAGCCGCACAAACCTTGCCATCGTCTGCTTCGCAAACTTGTGCGTTTGTGTTTGTCGCAGAGATCGCTAGCGATAACAGGACAAGAAAGAAGGAAATCAGCCGAGTAGACGTGGGGTTTCTCATTATTGTTTCAGGACTCAGTCTAAGAAAATAATGTGATTTTCGCTGAAAGCTTTGTCGTAGCTTTGTGGAAATCGCGCTGAAAGAGTTGAAACTTAGATTTGCTGAAGTGGGAAGTGCGGAAGTGGAACAGTATTTTAATAATCGTCGGCTCTATCGCTTCACATCAACAGATCAGCTTATTCCTTATTGTTTACTGTAGTACCGTTATATTGCAATGCGACGCTGGCAGTAGCAGTCCGATCGATCAAATTTTATTCAAATTTTATTCAAAATTGGCACGGCGCACCGGTTGGTAGGCGTGCGACCGTATCAGCAGACAGACGAAAAAGACGATCTCGTGACTGACTTGAGACTGAGACTTGAGACTGGGACTGACTGACTCACTCATCGCACGCACTCGGATCATCATCATCATCCTGCCTGCAAATACCGGTACTGTATAGTAAAATAACCTTAAAATTTTTATTGACAAGGTGATATCGATGCCATGGGGGGTATGAGATGCAACTGCCCAACCTTTAGCAATATGTCAAGAACAATGTCCTCCTTACGGGCCTGTCGTCAAAGTCGGAAACCACAACCATGCTTTAATTCATCTGCGTCGACTTCTACCAGAATATTGATGGAAGCGATGAACCCTCAACAAATCAAAATTACTGAAGGGAAACAAATACGAAGGATCACGAATCAATTTCAACCAACTTCATCTCACCATGCTCATCAGCAACTGATTCCGAGAAGTTTCCATTCCTATTCCTATTCCTATTCATCTCTCAAGCCTTCGCCAACATCATCAACACCACTGAGTAGAATGAACTTGGAATCTGCAGCTTCAGCAATTATCATACCGAAGCGAATTGTGCTACCATCATCGTCCTCATCATCATCATCATCATCAAGGCACAACGATGACAGGTGTTCTTATATCAATCCTTGGGATACATCCGATGAGTCAACATTGCCACCCATTGACTACGACATTCGATTGGATCGCCAGACTCGTTTCTTGCTTCAATTGCTCAAGGAAAAGAGGATGCATGGACTGCGGAATCCTCGATTTCATCGCAAGTCCGTTCCGGAAACTCTGACTACCGAAAAGTGTCATTACTGGCTGCAACAACTTGCTGCTACTACTGCTGCTGCTACCGAATCCAATAACAATGTCGGTATATCTACGTTGAGTGATCAGTGTTGGCAGCGAGCGGAACGGGCACGATTGATACTGGAGCACATGGAAGCCATTGCGGATGACTTTCGGCAATCTTGTCACCGTCGAAACCAAAGACAGGATGATGCTGAAGCAGCAACTTGGCATATGAATGGGATGCACAGAGAAAATCGATCATCTCTTTCACCATTGACCGAATCATCAAGGACCCTGCCACTTCCAACCTCCGAAACATACATGCTGGTGCTCAAGCTATACGCTACCAAGTATTTGCATGGTGAAGTATCAGTACCAGAAACTTGTCGCGCCATTGTGGAGCGTATGCAGCAGAATGCTCTAGTAACTTTTGACGCTGATGTCAAGGAAGGAGAAGAAGACGGACAAATTACAGGAAAGACGAGTCAGAAAACTGCCAATCAAGGGCACATCGTGTCGTCTCTTTCTCCGGTACCGACTACCCAACATTGGAACCAAGTAATCATTGCCTGGGCAAATTCTATGGATCCGAAGCGCCCTATTCATGCCGCACAAATTGCACATGCATTGGACGAGCAAGGCATGGCGGATGCCTCAACCTTCTCCCATGCACTCCGGGCTTGTGTCAGTTTGGATTCGAGACAACAGGTGGCGACACCTGAATTTATTCAACTAGCACTGCCAGTCGCACAAAAGTTACAGAATGGACTATTGGCACGGCAGCTACAAAACCGAGAGGACCCAAAAAAGGTTCCATTGGAAGCCTTTCACATTGTCCACTTGCTTCGTGTGGCAAGGAATCTACTGCCGTCACGAAAAGAACAACAAGAGCTACGAAATGAAATGATTCGGAATACTTGGCAAATGGCGACGAGTCTTCAAAAGATCAATGTGCACGTGGTGCAAGAATTGTTACAAGTGGCGAGTCCAGGACTGGTGCACGAATTGATCCAATCGGAGAAAGGCGACGCGAAGTCCATCAGTGCCGAAATTATGAAAGACCCATTGCAGCTCATTCAAGTGCTGCCAACGGAATGGATAGATCATTCTACTCCCGATCAAGATCCATATCAATGGTAATACTATCGACCATCTAGTGATAAATCGAATCAATTACTGGTTATCAATTACTGGTTGACAACGCGACGACAAGTTGACAAACGTCCCGACCCATAGGCTTGTGATCATTCATTTCCATAGAGAATGATCTTTAGCAAATTATTAATATTCCAATTTAACATTGGTCCTACCGGTAGAGCAGCTGCATGTACAGTAGCATTTTGATTGATTCAGTTTCTATACAATACTTTGAAAGTCAGAAGAGCTGGTCCATACTAAAAACGAATCTTGATCCCTAAGATTGGAGGCAACCCTAAGCTGTTGATGCACTATCACATTTAGCCATCTCAAGAACCCATACCGTGACCAAGCGATCGATTGGAATAATAATCAATCAAACCTTCGAAAGCAAACTGAAATGCCTTGCCTCCATCTTTGGTGGAATTGTATACAAAATAGGGAGCGGTGAGCTCATGCTGATAAATGTCGGCGACAGCGGCATGAATTAGACTGGGGATGTGGTTTCCAATCACTTGGGCAATCATTCCCGATAGACGACCCTGACCATTGTGTTTGGTCTTGGATCCACTGTCGTCGCCTGGACTCATCTTTGGCAAAGTCAAAAAGTAGGCAGTTTGTTCGGGATGGACCAAAGGAATCAATGCGTGACACTTGGTGGCAATCAACTGTTGATAGTCATAGAATGCGACCATATTATTGTGCACTTGTACCATTGTAGCCATTTTTGCTTGGACAAAGGCTTCTGGAACGCGTGCATTGCGACCAATGACCAATACTTGAAGTCTCTCTCGAATGTCTCCTTGATCATTGTTGCTTGAGGAAGTCTGCATGTTGGTTAGTGCTTGTACCAGTAGAGACTCGTCTCGAAGGTAATGTGTGCCTTTTCCCATGGATTTCCATCCAATGCAAATGTTGAGTTTTGGATTCGCTTCGGTGAATGGTGCTGTTGGTTTTGGAAACTTTGGGTAAACTGACGGCAAGAACCAACAGTGATGATCCCGTTCAAACTGAGGGTTTAGATAACAGGTCCTTTTCTCTGTGCTCTTGGCGAGGTTGGTCTTTTCATGTTTGCGATGAAAGACACAGAAATGTCGTTTCTTGTCTTTTGCCAACCAATCCTTCCAAAACTGGTTACCCCACATGTCACAGCTGGCCTCAATTACAAAGGAGTAGGATTTCCATGAGATGCTCTGAAAGGACCGCTTGTCCAATCCTAAGACATCAGCATAGTAAATATATCTAACATCATCATTCTCGTTCCGGAGGATTCGTTGCGCCGTGGAATTCTGCAAGTGTTGCTTATAGTATGCCGTCCAACCCCATCCTTCGGATTGCTGGAAGCTCTTTTTCTTGCCACCACTAGTATTCTTTTTTCCTTTTTTCTGTTTTTTTGCAGCGACATTGTTCGAGTCTTCATCCTTGTATCCACCTTGCCATTGAAAGGGCATGACAAAGTCAACGACGATGGGATTTCCTGGCGTCAATCCGGCATTTTGACACTTGGTCGTCGATGAAAAAGGCAAGGGATACTTTCGAGCAATGCTTTCAAACACCTCGTAGTGCCCATCAAAGGTTTTGGAATAGATCATTATGCGACACGAGGATAGAGTAGTGATGGAAGCCGGAATGGAATTGCCATCGACAAGTGTATCAATCTTTTCGACAGAAATATTCTGATTGAAGTCATTATGATCTATCAGAATAACAGGTTGGCTCTCATTTGCATTGTTGTCAGCATCGTTTGGACCTTCCTGATGATCGAATCCGAAAGTCGTGGATATAACATTGTTTTCCAAGTTGAATATGCTGGCACTAGCCGAAGCCACCATGGAAGTGCTAACGTATTGAAAGGCTATTCCTGAAAAAATCAAAAGAAGAAGAATTGCATTGCGACATGATGATGCAAAGAAATTCGCAGCTTTAGGTTCAGAACGAGAGCTGAAATTGGATTTCGATGATGCTGTTGGGTTTGTTATCGACTGCTGCCACTCATTGTTTTGCTGCATCCGTCACAGCAGCCAACATGCATGGCCTTCAATCAACGCTTGATACCTGGTTCCTGGTGCGAAATATGTGATACAGGTATAATGTCTGATGTCTGATGACTGACGTGACCATTTTTTCAAATGACGGTCCGTCGGTTGTTTGATCCAAGCAATGACTCTCTCTCCTAATCAATAGGTTCGTCCCTGCCAAATATAGTTGTTCATTGGTGTTCACGAAAGGACAAAATATCTTGGAAGTTATTTGAATTTATTGCACAGCCACGATAAAGGGATTTTCAGATTTATAGACAATGACTCTTGCATCTGTAAAAGTGCCTCGTTTCGAGTGCAAACTTCCGCTTTTTCAATCGAAAATGCATTAATTTTTAGTGATTCTGGAAGCTGCTTTAACCTGGTAATTTGAGGTCGCAATACTGCATACGCCATTATACAGTACAGGAACCTACAACTTCGGCGTTGACTTTCAGTCTGCACTAGGTGACTGCATACCTTATTCAGACGCAGACATCACATTTAAATCGCTGGTGAGCTTCTCTGGAGTGACTTAAAGCGAGGGAAAGGGACGAGAGACTTATATTCTTTCAGGTGACTTCTTTTGTCAGGTGGTTTCAGGTCAATTAAGTTTCTACCAATACCTGGTAGTGGCTGCCAGAGGAAAGGATGATTGCTTCTCCAAGGGCGTCTCCCAGGAAACCACTTCACAGGAATTCATCTCCCGGGCGCAAACAGAAATCCTATGCCTTGTCTCCTGGTGCCGTAACCGTGTCTCCTAGAATCACCGGTCGTCATTCAGTTTTGGTGGCCATGAAGAAGCACAAAGCATTGCAATCCGACAACATTTTGACAGATGAAGACAGCTTCAGCGAAAGCTGCCGCAGTGACTTCGATATCACCTCCATTGTACATCCTGGGAGTCGCTACTTGAGTGGATTCGATTCTATTTCTGGATCAATTCATTCTCTCGGCGGAAGTGGCCATCGAAGAAGTATCATGTACAAACGTGCCGATGGATCCGACGCCATTGCCGATACCGAGCTGTTGGAACAGGAGCTTGAGGAAATGGAAAATCGAAAAAATAACATTTCGGACTCTTTAATAGCCTTTAGTCTGCCCGAACCATTTCTTGTGGACAACCGCCCGAGCTACCTTTCGAAAAAGGGACGAGCGCCCACTGTCAATGATCTGTATGGCCCAAACGACAGTTTTTGTGACGATGTGTCCGAGCTCATGATCGACGACTCCGAATTTTTCATTGGAGAGGAACCAGAATCCTGTTGGTCTATCACCAATCACGACGAAGAAAACTCGCAGACGCCGAGTCTATATTGTGACATTTCGGTAATCAAGACATCTGCCACCGACGACCAATGGGCCAAATACAAATTGCTAGGACGAGTTGGAATGGGTGAAGTGAAGATCACGAAGCCCGCCAAGAAATTGATCAACAAGAGCATCCGTGTCATGGCCAAGGCTATTAAGCAGGTTATGGCTCTCCGGGAAAGCGACCCAGTCATATCTGATAAACCACCCAGACCACCCAGCAAACCACGACCTTCCTCTTGTTTGTCCCCGTCAGAAAATTCGCATCGGTCCCGTCTCACCACCCAATCCTCTGGAACCGCCAGCACTACGGAAACGACCGGTACAGATGCGAACATCTTTTGCACTGGAAAATTATTGGACGAAGTCAAGCAAACACTGGAAATTTTACCGCCAAACAAGGCTCAGTACAAACGAGATCCCAATTCCATTCAACTGCCAGAAGTGGTCAAGGAACAGCTGAAAGACTATGTTGCAATGATTGCATCGATGTATACCGACAATGCTTTTCACAATTTTGAACACGCCAGTGAAGTTCTGAAAGTAAGTCGCCGATCGATAAAGTTCGGCTTGATGCCAATCCATGGATGCTTACATTATTTCCTTTATGCTCGCTCGCTTGCTTGCTTTCTTCAGTCGTCGAATGCCATTCTCTCCTTTATTTCCATGTCCAAAGATTTGGATGACCTCGATGAAGGACCGGGATCGGGAGTCATTACGGACCCATGGACTCATTTTGCACTGACTTTCTCGGCATTGATCCATGACGTGGATCATGCGGGGGTGCCAAACTCCCAACTCACCAAAGAAAAGTCAATCATTGCGGATTCGTACAAGGGCAAGAGTGTGGCGGAACAGAACTCGATTGAAATAGCTTGGAACCTATTAATGGAACCATGCTATAAGGAATTGCGTGAAATCCTCTTCACCACAGCAGAAGAAGTTGGTCGCTTTCGTCGACTGGTTGTCATCTTTGTCATGGCCACTGACATTGCCGATCAAGAACTAGCAAAGTTTCGAAAGCAACGAGCCAAGGAAGCGATGGAGTGCCAAGAATCGAGTAGTGTTGCCGCTAGTGGGGAGGCGACTTACATTATGGAAACAATCATGCAAGCGGCAGATATCTCCCATACAATGCAGCCGTTTCATGTGTACAAAAAATGGAACTGGAAGTTGTACCGGGAGATGTACAAAGCGTTTGAAAGTGGACGGGCGGAAAATGACCCAACGGATACTTGGTATGAGATGGATATCAAGTTTTTTGACTTTTATGTAATTCCACTTGCCAAACAACTCATCCAATGTGGGGTTATGGATGAATCCAAAGTTCAGAACTTGCTGAATAATGCCAACGAGAATCGCCAAGAATGGGAAAAGCACGGAAAGGGGATCGTCAACCAATACATCGCAGAGCGGAATGCGCCCAAGAAACAAGGCCGAGCACCAAGAAGAGCAAGCATGTGCGACTCGGTATCTTCAGGCGGAAGTGCAATGTCAGACTTAACTGATTGCGATAACTTGTCCATTAGCAGTCTCCTTGATACGACGTTTGCCAAGGTGTCGAATTCCAGCTTGATGGAACCGCAAAAGCCAAGGAGCACACGGAGTGCCACCAAGGCCTCAAAGAAGAATCAGCGACGCCAGTCATCAAAGAGCCCCAAGACGAAACGATCATCAGTTTCATCACCGAGAAAAGCGAAACAGACTAAGAAGAAAGGGAAAATGGTCGGTCCTCCTCCACTGCTAAATGATTCGGAGATTGACCAAGCTGTTGCGGGGTATGCGATTAAGGCAAAGGGGAAGTCGTCAAGACAAAGTTCTGGGGGACGAAGAAGGGGGAAGTCCCAACGACGAAAGTCTAATGATTCTAAGAGACGGAATAGCGTCGATAGTCCTAGAAAGGGACTATCATCTAAACGAAAGTCGGAGCTGGAGTCATGTGTGAAAAATAATGGTCTATTGCCGAGAGGGCACAGTGTTGATCGTCCTCGAAAGGAGCCGATGTCTCCCCGACGAAAATTGAAAAAAGCCGATGTGCTCTTGAAAGGACCCAGGAAAGCAGACCCACCGCAAGATGAAATCGTCCTTCCGATTCGAACCAACCGGCCAAAGAAGCATGCTCGTTCAAAATCCTCGGGATCGGCTGACGCGGAAGAGGTGGCCATGTTCTTGGCAAGATTTCACGCTACAAAGGAAGCAAGGGCAGCAAGGATTTCTGGGGGTCGCCAGAGGTGCAACAGTGCGTCGAGGGCCACAAGATCCAGCTCCACAACTCGATAGTACATGGTCAAACGAACACACCAAAGGGGACGGTGTGTATATTATACGATGACTACAAGCAATGATTCGAATTCGATTTTAAAGTTATAAATAGAAGAATTAGACATCCACAGAACGGACTCATAAAGCTTGTGTTGCTTTATTCTGCTGAGGGCTGTTGCCATTGGATATCACGGATGCTGGCTCGGATCTTCTTCGACTCTTTCGGGACAATGAAGCCTCGTTTCTTTCGAACTTTAGCAAGATGCTTTGCAGTAGTTCATCTCGTTGAACTGCCTGTGCCTCCATCAGCTCCATAGCTTGCGTTTGTGATTCAATCTCTATTTTGAGGCGCTTCACAGTTTCCTCAAGCTGGGTCTTTTCATGGTCGTGAATTGTTTGCACCAACTCGGACGATTGCTCAAACGTCGCACGATTGACCACTTCGGTTTCTAGAATTGTTTCTTTCCGAGAAAGGGAATCCTGAAGACTCTTGACTTGCCACTTTTCAGACTCCAATTGTGATTTCAACTCTTTGTTCTCGATTGATAGCTCATCGAATCTTTTTTCTAGACTTGATGATAGATTTGCAGGCGTTTGGCGTCGTGCCAGAAGATAGCACACGGCTGAATGTGGGATTGTGTTTTGGACTGCATCCTGAATTGCCGAACAGAGTACCTGATGGAGCCGCCGAAGGAACTGATCGAGCGATGGCGATTTTTCACTTTGGATGTATACCACTATTACTGCGGCAAGTAACATATCCAGTATCGTAAAGTACTTTGAAAGACACATGACCACTGCGCAGTAGTATATGATTTTTTCTGGTTCTTTGGCATTCCACGACACCAACAGTTCAATGAATTCACCAGCAATTGTCGTATCGGAGCCGGCAGGAGCATCGAGATGACTTGCTTTGTCGAGCGTCATATCCATGCTCAAGTTGGAGAACACACTGAGATCACCCAGCGTAATGCTATGCGGACCATCGAACGTCGACTCCCCCGTCGAAAACGTTGATTGCGCTGTCGTCGCGTTTCGATGAACTTGTTTTAATTCTGCTGACGAGGAAAAACTTTCTTCCTCAATGATGGACATTTCGGATTCTTGAAGCGTGGATTGAGTGGCATCATCTGCCTTGAGCGATTCAAGCACGAATTTGGATGTAGTAGCTGGTATCATTATGGTGGTGTAGGTAGTTTTGATGTGTCTTTCGTGATGGGCTTATCGGTTATCGGTATATTTTGTTGTGTTGTCACAGTTTGAGAAATCTGCCTCCAACAAATACACGCGAGCCGAGCCAGTATCTTGGCGATTTCAAACTTTTCGCGTATATATATCATGAAGATATTTATGCTCGCTGGCCTGACCGGCGATTGCGCGATTTTTGGCCGCGATGAATATGTAGTCGACTGAATCAATCAAAGAAATCTATAAGACATTTTCCGGACACGACTAGCAGGACTAGACCTTTTCTCCGGACACTTCACCCAGATTTTGAAAATAACTGGAAATTATGGTTGGATTGGGGGATACCAAAATGTACCGTGATGAACAAGCTTCTACGTGGGTGCAACAACATAATGCGTTTCAGCAAACTATTTCCCGGATACATGTCCGGAGAATTTTGAATACAAAATTAGACTTTGGTTGGAATAGAAAGTATGTATGTACCCCATTGAGCATAGTACTTTGACTGAAAAAATGCCAACAATATTTTTATATGCCTTCAAAACCATTACAAAACAACAAAAAACGCAGTACCCCTGTGACAACCAAGACTGCGACGAGCCATATTGACGACGAGAGATTCTAAAAATTAAACCTACAACATTATAGGAATCATCTCTGATGGCTGGGATGATGGACGATAAGCCACTGTTTCGCTCAGGATTGGGGCGGGAATTGCAAATGAAACATATGGTCTCCTGCCGAGCGACGTGGTTGCCTCGTCTGAAACCAAAATAAGAGATGCCAAGCAGCAGCAATCAAAAAATGGGCCAACTTTGCTACAATATTTAGCATTCAGTTCGTCATGTTCAGACTTGTGATATTGGGCAGTTGGGATTCTGTGCCGGTCAAGATGGCGACAGCCCTCTACAATATCTTCAGATGGCACAGGGACTATCGTTCAAGGATACCCTTTGGGTTTTTGGCCAGATGTTCTATGTATGCAAAGTGTTGGTTGCAATTGGTAGTGGATATCCGACACCGGTTTTGCTCATACATTCTTTGCGATCTCAGGAAAGCGATGCTACACCGGTGATTGGCTTCACTGGCGTGCAACAATCTAATAGCTTGGCGATGACTTTCCACCAAATCAGACAGAACAACAATCAACAATCTTTTTGGGATAAAATCAAGCTTTTTGACACACCTAGTAGATGACAGAAACGTTCTGTCAAAGGGGTACATTATGGTCCAGATCACTTTCTGGCATTCAAGGGTCGTAAGATGGCTCAAACCACTCCGCTAGAGCATAGCAAACACTAGCAATTTCATGCCTAAGCCAAAGATGGAAGAAGCGCTAATGAGGAGCTCACAGCAATGAGGACGGTGAAACCAACAGAGAAGAGCGAGTTCCAAGAGGGCCACGAAATCAAAAGTCCATTGCGAAGAAAGCAGTAGCGAGAAAACAGGGGAGATCAATCAGTTGGAGATCTGCGATCAAGAGAGTGATGGAGATTGTGGCAGTGGGGGAGCGGAGGAGTCACCTGGGACCAATCGGACATTCAAGGCAGCACACAAAGGAGACAAGAAGGGAGGGGCAAGTCAAGGCTGCAATCAGGTGGAGGTCGGTCAATCAAGCGCTTGGAGATCCTCTTCACATGAGGCAGAAGTGACAGCGAATGGGCAAACGAGGGCAATACTGAGGGGACCAGAGGGCGAAAAGAATAGCAAGCGTGGCAATGGTTGGCAATGGTCGATCTGGAGAGGAGGAAGTCCTCCAGTGGCATCAACAATGCGCCGAACAAGAATTACTGATGAAGAGTCAAGAACCAATGAAAGTCCATGGAAGTCCAAAAATCGAAGAGCAAACGATCATCCTAGCGATGGTGCTGAATTTGCAAGGGAATTTGGACATAAAGCTGTTCCAGGAGTGGCGCGAGCAGGGGAGCAGGAGCATGATGCCGCAAGCCAAATGCAGACGTTGTACTTGAGGGCTCGTGAGGATGCTCAGGCCAGGGTTCATGCCAGAATTAGACGGACTACTCAGCCTACGGCGGGTGGAAAGTATTTTCACTGTGGTAGTAATGCATGGCCAATAATGTACATGCTCTTTTCTTTGTCATTGTTGTTGCTCTTACTTTCTAGTTTTTTCCACTTGTATTTTTCTCGATTTTATTCCCCCGAATTTGCCCCTAACTTGCCACTTTGGCCTTGGAGCTTTTTCGTGGTAAGATTCTACGTCTCCGGACTTCTTGTCCGGAAAAAGTTTGTCCAGATAGATTGCTAAAATTTCCCGCCGCATACACAGTATCACGGAGACGACACCTGACGGATTTCCAATAATAACAATTAGGCTCTACAATATAACATTTACACTGGTACATTTGCTCTAGTCACTTGACGGAAGTTCTTGTGGATAGTACGAGGAAAGTTGTCTTCTTCCCCCGCCTCCACGAATCATCATCCCGTTGGCTTGGACAAAGTTGGTCCCAGGAGTGGTCCTCTTGATCTTCAGTGCGAATTTGTCTGTCGTTTTGGGAACTTTGCGAATTGGTAGAACAAGTACTGGAGCATCAGATGGCGCCTTGGATGGTGACGACGATGGAGACCCAGTTCCTGGACAACTTTCGTCTTCAGACGTTGTGCATGGCGGTACAATGGAATCATCGTTCACAAGGGGAAATCCTGCAGCTTGCCATTGGTTGACACCTTGGGCATTATAAAGCTGACCTTCAAAGCCATTGCTTGCCAAAATTTGGATGGCAACTCTGGAGCGTGCTCCACTTCCTGCAACAACCGAAAAAATCGTGATCTATAAGCATCAATTGATTGATCAATCGCAAGAGCTATCCGAGAAACCGACTTTCTCACTTACGGCAATACACTGCAATAGTGCAGAACTCACAACCCGCAAAGTCGGATGGCACTGCGCCAGTATGCGTTGAAGTACCAAAAGAGGCCAGGCTGTCAGCAAAGGTTGCACCTACAATATGACCAGCTTCCCATTCGGCTCTAGTGCGAACGTCAAGAATTAAATCATCTGCGATGGTGAACAAATGATTGAGACTGCTGCACCTTGGAGAAATGGAACATTTGGGCATGGACTTACATTCGCCGTTGTCAATTCCAGTCTTGAAGTCTTCGGCTGGAAGCAAGGTGGATGCTACTGTGGGTGTCATGGTCGGAGCGGTAGTGATTTCTTCCACTTGAAAGGATATGATTTGTCCAGCTTCGCAATGGCTCCCAATGTCGCAAGCAAATGTGATTGTCTGTCCAGCATCCTCCTCTGAAAAGGTATACAAAGCAGGCCCGGCATTCTCACCCACCAGAACACTTCCCATTTCATCGCAATCTCCAGTTGGATGAATGTATACATTATGAAAGTTCTCATAGTTGAAGGTTACCTATGAATGATATAGTATGCGAGGCTCAGAGGAATGCATGCTATGATTCCAACACGACGTCCATTCATTCCTTACCGTATCTCCCACTTTTGCGGTCCTGCCTGGGAACGGTGTTGTGGGTATTCTCCATTCGATTTCAATTGGAGCGCACTGGCCAGTAAAGGTCTTTTCAAAAGAATTATCGTCATCTGATCCTAGTTCAAACAAAGTTTTCAGCATCCGTTGAAAGGTGATATCTTCTGCACAGATTGGGTCCAGACAAACTGGAATATTCGACATTTTCACATTGGTATCAGCCCCAAGCCCTGTTGTCCCAAATTCATCATTACACAGATAAATGTCTCCCGATCTCAATGTTCCATTCACAGCTTCGCAGTTCGATGCGGCCTCAATAGAGTAACTAGTGGGAGAGAAGTCGCAGTCATTGCCAAGAAGACAAAAGAGAGCCGTTTCGGACGCAAAAGGAGCCGCCAGTCCGCCAGGAACAGCCTGATCCAACAATATCAAAGTTGCAAATAAGCAAAATTGCAATTCCGGTGTATCCGACGGTACTTGAGCCACAGTTGCGATACCCCCATCGAAGAATGGTTCGGTCCTTCGCATTAGGTCTTGAACAGTATCTTGCAGAGTGGATAAATTCGCTGATGCATCTGCATCTGCATCTGACGGGAAGATAATGTTTCCGGAGACGAGAGCTAGTGACGACGACAGAACGAGTAGTAGAAGTGGGCACAATCTTATTGCCATTGTGACCGCTGTTAGCTGAATATGGAGCATCAAGGATAATATAAATCTTTTTCGTCGATGAGAGTGATTTTTATCGTTCTGCTGATTACACGCGGGGAGGGAGTTTTACAGGATGAAATAATGAATGGAAGAAGAAATGTCGGTTTCTTTTAGTATTCTGCATGATGCGTGTTTCATGAGATATAAAAATATTATTCCACCACGACCGCCATGAAAATTTTACTGCAAAATGACCCAAACGATGAGGGGGTCCCGCAGCCCCCCCAACGACCTTCGCTCATCCCCCAATAACAACGTCACAATAATATTACTGCGGAATGCATGCAGTTTCAAGTTTCTCCGGTACCATACCGGTATTAAAAAATATTGCATAGTCTCGCTTTGTTTTATGACGCCCCGCTCTTGATCACCACTTTTCACTTCTTATTCTCGAACTATATATGCGGGTAGTGCTGTATTCCGAAGAATAAGACCAAAGCATACTGTAGTGAATAGCCCAGCACAAGATATCCACAGCAAGCAACTGGTTTGTCTATTTGATCTGCCGAACGAACAGATGGCTCGAACACGTCTACTTGCATATCTGGGGCTCTGCTGTGTGGTCGCTCTGTACTTTTTTGGCAATTCTCAAAAGTTGGGTGGTTATTTTGAAACAAAGGAAACACAAAATGACATCTCTACATCTGCTTCAACGCCAGGTTCAGAAAAGAAGGATGATTCGTCGCAAAGCAAAGGCAACACCAGAATGTTGAATAGTTCATCTGAATCCACAAACGCACCGTCATCATCACCAACATCATCGCCATCAATGACAACACCGACATCATCAATATCAGCATCACCGTCATCATCATCAATATCAGCATCACCATCGTCATCACCACATGTGGAACAATCTTCGAACGAAGATTTTTCTACAAGCCTGAATTCATCCGAATACGCCACAATTAACGCGTCATCAACGTCACCGCAACATGCCACTAGAATTGAGAAGGCCAACACAACAACATCAGTCTCGGTGTTTTATCATCTGTATCTGAAAGATGATTCGGAAATAGAGAGGGTCACAGATATAGTTCTTGACCAGTTTCAGTGGTTAAAACAAAGCATACACAACACGGTGTATGTAAACTCAGTTGGTACGCCTATGCCTTTGTTGGCGAACCTTTCAAATGTTAGTGATGTATTGGTGCAGAGCCATCAGACCAGTGGGTCAGAATTTATCACATTGAATAATATATGGCAATTTTGCAATGCCAGACCAAGCGAGAAGGTTGCGTATCTTCATTCAAAGGGTTCGTTTCACGCGACAAAGGTAAACGAGGAATTGAGAAAAGTGCTTTCGTTCGCTGCACTGTCAAAAGAATGTGCAGACCTTCCAATGACATGCAATGTGTGCTCACTGAAAATGAGTCCATTTCCACATGCGCATACTTCTGGAAACATGTGGTTGGCAAGGTTTTCGTATATCAACAAACTGCTTGGGCCAGATTCCTTCTTGCAAAAAATGGGGAAAAGGGACAACCAATTCATCGGAAAGGGGAGATATGCAGCAGAACATTGGGTTCATTCTCATCCACAAGTTCGGCCATGTGATTTGTACTCGAAATCATCCTTCAATTACGGATACTTCAGAGTCCCCTCCATGGAAGAGCTGACATCAAATCTAAAATTGGAGATGGCTCCTCGATTCTCGTTGGGTCACACCCTAGAGCGAATTGTAGAGAACCGATTTGCAAGGGGACAAATAAAACACTACCCTTCATTTGCACAGAGACTTAATGAGTACACAATGCTCTATGGTATTGAGAAACCTGATCTGGAATGGTGGGGATGGACGTTTTTCAATGCAACGTCCAAAGACAATAGAACAATTCCACCTCATTTGTTATCAGCCTGAATCCATGAAAGGACTTTTCAAGATATACATGGGCTGGCCTAGCTGTGAACACAGACCTTCAGCTGACCATATATGGAATGATATGTTGGTAACATTACGTGTGCCTGCATTCATCAGATTTTGCGAGCGCAAAGTCGCCAGTGATTGGCATGCCATTCATTCACTTATCATAAATATCATCATTATATGTACCAGCCTGTTAGAATAAAGCAAAATGTGCTCTATCGTGAGTGCCTTTAGCGCTCAGAACAAACTCTCTGCAATCTAAATTCATAATCGACTATACAACACTTTCACGACAATAGTTCTCTTGTGTTAGGTATACTTTGAGTGAAATTGTTCCTATTTGATTAATGTTTGGCTTGAATTGATGATTCAATCACAAAAGTAAGTTCAACAATTTTCCCTTGGAAAATCCCTTGTTTACAGAACTTGATTGGACCTCTACAACAATGCTGTGTTGGATGCAGTACTTTGGGACATCTTGTATTATTCCCTACTGCATTGTACACAACATCAATATCTCACTTGTATAGGGTCATTCCCTTTTTGTGTGGATGTAGTTTGTCCGACAGACTTGTGTCCGGCATACTTGCGTCAAATTCCGACATCATGATCAAAGTCCGATCGTTTGGTGTTAGTGCATCAGATGGGCACTAATCCACAGCGTTACCAGCAGCGCGGGCTTGAGCTGGAGGGAGTAAAGATTCAAATTGGTGTGGGTTAGTGTCGTGGAGGACTTCATGGGCTCTACCACAATAGGTGTTGCCGTGTTCATCAATTATCTTAGCGGTGTTAGAATAAAGCAAAATGTGTTCTATTGTGAGTGCCTTTAGCGCTCAGAACAAACTCTCTGCAATCTAAATTTGTAATTGACTGTACAACACTTTCACAACATTAGTTCTCCTGTGTCTAGGTATACTTTGAGTGAAATTGTTCATATTTGATTAATGTTTGGCTTGAATTGATGATTCAATCACAAAAGTAAGTTCAACGATTTTCCCTTGGAAAATCCCTTGTTTAAAGAACTTGATTCGACCTCTACGACAATTCTGTGTTGGATGCAGTACATCTTGTAATATTCCCTACTGCATTGTACACAACATCGATATTCCACTTGTATAGGGTCATTCCCTTTTTGTGTGGATAGAGATTGTCCAACAGACTTGCATCCGGCATACTTGTGTCAAATCCCAACATCACGATCACTTGCTTCCGAAACACACGGAAACAGCAAAGACACAACATCTTCACCGACAACAACAAAAACATCACCACAGGAACAGCATCCTTTTTGTCTGTGTGATTTCAAACCAAACAACAAATCGATCTCTTCCCTCTCCTTCTGCCAGTG